TGTTATTGAGTACAAAACATATCAACATACTCCACCAACCAAACAAGAAGCTGTCTAGCAAGTTCATAGGGCCCTTCCGTGTACAAGACGCAGTCGGAACGCAGGCTTACCGCCTGCAATTACCACCGAACTATCGCATTCATAATGTGTTCCATGTATCACTCTTAGAACGATGGAAACCTAGAGCAAATCAGGAGGATAACACCCAACCGCCTGAAATCACTCTAGAAGGCAAAGAAGTTTGGGAGGTTGAGAAAATTCTAGGGAAAAGAATAAGGAAAGGCCAACTGCAATATTGGCTACGCTGGAAAGGCTACGATGAATCCTGGGATACCTGGACCCCAGCTTCAGATTTCGAGAATATGGAAGATCTGATCCAAGAGTTCAATCAAAGCGCACAGCAGAAGAGACAAAGAGGAAGAGCAGGAGGGTCTCGTTCGTAGCGCGCAAGAAGCGCAATCCCAATATGAGGGAACCGGGGTATCTATGCATACAAAAAACAAAACAAACAGAAATCTACAAAACCACTCAGTCACCACCACCCTCAACATCCTCACCACCATCACCACCAATCTCGCCATCACCACCACCACCAGCCTCATCCTCCTCATCCCTTTCAGAACCACCATCCGAACCACCAGCGCCCCCCGAGCCACTAACCTGCGACTCATCGTCGCTAGGAGTGCTCGGATCATCAGAATCATCAGTATCCTCACCCTCACCGGCCATGCCATTCTATGAATTGGAAATTAGTAAAATGAAGTCAAAAAATAGAACTCATGGGAGAAGCGCATACCGAGTGTGCCATGTGCTTGACGACCTGCTCCAAAGCGCCTGCGATCCTGCGCTGCTCAACCAGGATCAAGCTCAGGAAGTCCGCACTGGTCTTGGGAATCTGGGTGGGAACTCCCATAGGAGTACCCGTATGGGCAGCGGTACGGCGGCGGGTCGCGAGCTCGAGATTGAATTGGCGCTGGCAACGCGCAAGCTTGACGCCAGCACCCAGCACAATAGCACTGGTCCTGGGATTGTTGGAATCTGACACAGCAGTGTCATACTTGCCCCGAAGGCGATACAGCCGGTTGAGCTTGCCAACCATATCCCCAGGAACCTACAAAGATGTTAGCAAAAGTCTAAATGTTTAGAAAAACTAAGGGAGAAGTTACAAGGGAGCAACCGCCACGATTGCCCTTGACACAATGGCTACAGCGCTTCTGTTCCGGCTTTTTACAAAGTTTTTTGCCAGTCGCCACGTTCTGTGCGCAGCGCAGGCAAGTCGGCGTGGTAGCCACCTCCGACACGCGCTTGTCGCGCTCGCTCCACTCGTAAGGATCGGCCTTCTTAACGACGGTTTTCGAAATGAACTTGGGAGTGGGATAGAAAACCATTTTAAAGTGCGAGTAGTGTGCGATGAGTGTGCGTTGTATTGTTATGTGGTGTGCAATGCGAAGATGTTGAGCGTGTAAGGGACAGTAGAGGACAACAGCAATATATCACAACAACAACCGTTTGCTATCACCACAAGCGAGCGAAAAATTTTCCGCCTTCACCTCGACAACATGAAAAATTTTCATCACAACAAGGCAACAATATTACAACAAAGCAACAGTCCTTACAACTCTTTCCGTCACATCTCCTCACTGTAGGGTGAGTTGTGAGCCTCATACGGGCTACATGAGAACAACGCAAGAGAGCCGCAAGCGCGACGGACCTAGGGCGCATAGTAGAGGACACTCTTTTCCTACTCTTGAAACAACAAGAGAGGTTTTTATTGAGGCCGCTGCTGTCGAGGACGCCAGACTAGAGGGGGAGGTTCTGTAACGAGGGCTTGAGACACACGTCCCTCGAAGGAGCTAAGTACGCGCTAAACCTGCTTATAAGGCGCGCCTCGCTCTACAAAGCGAGGCAAGGATTATTCTCTTTACAACCTACACCTGTAGTCTGAATATATGAGCTATCTCCCACTGTCTTTAGTAACGTGAAGCAAGCACTATTGCCTACAGTTACGCCTCACATAAAGTCTTTTTAACATTGTTGCGTTAAGACATTACAGGTAGGCTTTAAGTTTAGTTAAGTCTTAGCAAAAAGGTTCTACTCGCTTAAAGGTTCTACTCGCTTGTAACCTACGTTAGAGTAAGTTATAAGCTTTATATAGGCTACATAAGAACAACGCAAGAGAGCCGCAAGCGCAACAGACTTAGGGCGTATAGTAGAGGATACTCTTTTCTTACTCTTAAAATAACAAGAGAGGTTTTTATTAAGGCTGCTGCTATTAAGGACGCTAGACTAGAGAGGGAGGTTCTGTAATAAGGGCTTAAGACACACAACTCTTAAAGGAGCTAAGTACGCGCTAAACCTGCTTATAAGGCGCGCCTCGCTCTACAGAGCGAGGTAAGGATTATTTTCTTTACAACCTACACCTGTAGTCTAAATATATAAGCTATCTCCTACTGTCTTTAGTAACGTGAAGTAAGCACTATTGCCTACAGTTACGCCTTACATCCTCCTAGGTGTAGATTGTAACAATAATAAAGCAGCATACTGTAAATAGTACTTATATCTCAAGACGAGCTAGATACTAGTTCTTGCTATATAAGGTGAAGGTAACTTAGCATACGCGTTCGAAGATGCTGAGGCTTACAAGAGACATACAAAGAACTTAGAGATTTACTTCCTAGATGCAGGTTATCTTGTCCTTGAGATTAAGAGATCTCTAGGCCTGTTATCTTTGAGTGTCGACGGTATCTTACGACACGTGATACAGTCATTAGTGACTGCGGCTTTACTGTAACACGCAGCTGTGCAGCAGTTTTGAGCAGCCCAATGGATCCTTAAAGTACTTACAATTGCTGTTGATTCATTTCAGTCTCGCTTGTAACACGGCAGAGTTGCAGCAGGTAAGCTGTCCAAGCTGGGCTACTTTCGCACCGAGAATTCTGGAATTGCCGATTTTTCCTACGTAGTGTCGCACAGCCGTCGCTGGAGCGTGTATCGGCTGTTTATCGACACCTTCGACTCAGTGCTGTTAGCTTTGGCCATCTTGGAGAAACTTTGCCGCCTAATCTAGAATTATCGGCTACTGCGCATGTTCGGCGCGCACAAGAACGAAAAGAGAATCCGGTAAGGGGCTGGTCATCGACTCGATGTCAATGTTCGGATGGCTTGAGCGCCCGTAGGTTTACGCGATGATGCGCATCACAGGCTAGTAGCGTCTTAGTGGTGCCGACTGGGGCAACTCTGTAGAAGGATCGACGAAAATCGATGATCAAGGATGCACACGTGCTAGATCCTGGGGGTCGATCTTTTCATCTACGTTCGCGAGCAGTTTTAGTAGCCAATGCCATCCGATGCTTAGTGTTGACTGAATCGACAAATGTCGTGCTGTTGAACGATCGAGTGGAACCCATGATCAGGGCGACGGCGCATGTAACAATGACAGACGAGATCATAGAGAGCTATTAGACACACATTTGCTGCAAGTCTGTTCAGTGTTGCCACGAACAGATCTTCCTCACAGCCATGCATTTCTCCACGTGATAGACTTAGAGCCGGCTTCCAGTCGCGTGGCGCTTCGTAGAATAAAGCACGCGCTAGGGACAGACCCTGATTCGCACATGGGTCCAGGGGCAACCAGCACGACTCGCTGCCCACAACGCTAAGAGTGACCGTACAGCAACTTGCTTTTCCTGGTTAGCAGTGGATCATGACTTTCGTGCACGGCCTGACGACTGGAGAACGCGGACAGCGCACGTCAACTGTCAATGGAAATGTTAAAAACTGGTCTTCCCCATGGACCGTTGTGTCCGCGGAGGGCTATTCCATTCCACTACCATGTTACCGCTTTCGCGGCTTCTTACACGGCGTGCAGCCTTGCTTTCGCTTGTCACATCAACCGTCACACAAGCGCCAACTTCTTTAACCGATCCTACCACTCATTCCACGAAGGCTAGACAAATCGCCGACCCCATCCTCGATCCCATTCTCGAAACCATTGGATCAACTCTTCAGGGGGATGGATTGATTGACAGTACACTTGGTGCTATCGGCGGAATACTGGGCAGCGAGCAAACTTTCGACTATGTCGTCGTTGGAGGCGGAACTGCAGGTGCAGGCGTTGGCGTGCGACTAGCTGAGGCAGGGTTCAGCGTTGCTATAATTGAGGCTGGTGGCTTTTACGAGATCGAGAAGCCAGTATTTGGCACCACACCAGCAGGATCCTTCTTTGGAATTGGATCGAGCCTTCTCGACACTGTACCGACGACAGACTGGGGTTTCGCCACGGAGCCACAGCCGCACCTGGGCGGTCGCCAAATTCACTATGCCCGGGGTAAATGCTTGGGAGGGAGCAGTGCCTTGAACTTCATGGTTTACCACCGCGGAACTACGGCAAGCTATCAGATGTGGGCGGATGCTGTTGGTGACCAGAGCTATACTCTAGGAAACCTTACCCCATTCTTTAACCAAGCAGTGAGCTTCACAGCCCCTGGAGAGCGGTCGCTTGACAATGTCACAACCGCTTACGATGCATCGAGCTTTTCAAATAGCGGTGGACCTGTGCAGGTGGGCTACGGATACTGGGTTTCGATCTGGGCATCATACCTCAAGAAGGCCTTCGAGGTTCTCGGTATTCAGGAGAACACAGACTTCAACAACGGGAAGTTGCTTGGATACCAATATTCGCAGAGTACTATTCGGTCCAGCGATCAGACTCGAAGCTCGTCGGTTGCTTACATACACGCCGTACAGGCCAATTCCGCGGCCTCAAGCAATCTCAAAGTGTTTACCCATACACAAGCGCGGAAAATACTGTTCGACAAATCTTCCGCCAGGCCTAAGGCAAGTGGAGTCGAGGTGTCAGCCCTTGTTGGGCTGGCACAATACACCATCAAGGCTCGTCGCGAGGTGATATTGAGTGCTGGAACGTTGCAGTCTCCTCAACTCCTCATGCTCTCGGGAATCGGCCCGACTGACGAGCTTCTGGAGCATGGTATCGACCAGGTTGTTTCAGCCCCAGGTGTTGGTCAGAACATGTGGGATCACGTTCTGTTTGGTCCTTCATACTCTGTCAAGTTTCGGACTGTAGGTTCCATACTCCTCAGACCACTACAATTGGCCAACGCACTTGTTGAGTACATAACGAGCGCCAATGGTGCACTTACCTATGCTGCCGACATATTGGGCTGGGAAAAACTATCGAAGGTGGAGAGATATCGCGACACACTTAGTCAAAGCACACTCGATGCTCTAGAAACCTTCCCCGACGACTGGCCCGAGGTAGAGTACATCGCTGCCGACGCGTATGCGGGGAACTTTCGTTATCCCCTGGCGCAACAGCCTCTGAACGGCAAGAAGTATGTCAGTATCCTTGGAGCCATGGTGGCACCGCTGTCGCGAGGCAACATCACACTCAAATCAGCAGATCCACTCGCTGCGCCGGCCATCAACCCGAACTGGCTGTCTGATCCAGCCGATCAGGAGCTCGCTATCGCCTGGTACCGCAGGATGCGCGAAATCTTTGCGACAAAAGACGTCGCATCACAACTTGAGGAAATTGGTGTTGAAGCGTACCCAGGGCTCGACTACGACAGCGACGAACAAATTATGGCGGTCATCCGAGATAGCGCAATCACAGTGTGGCACGCTGCTTCGACCTGTCGAATGGGCAAGAGTATACTCAGAGATGGTGTTCGTGAGCGAGTCGATGAAATGGACGTTGTCGACTCTGAGGCCAAGGTTTTTGGGGTAGACGGGCTTCGTGTTGTGGACGCCAGCATCTTTCCATTCCTGCCGCCTGGCCATCCTCAAAGCACCATATATGCACTAGCAGAGAAGATTTCCCAGGTCATTATTCGGGACGGCCGCAGCACTACGTCATGAAGGCACCGTGTTTGACGTAGAAGTCTTGCATCGACGCACGCTACCAGAATGATACCGAGTATTAATTACGAGAGGCTATCAATCCTCTTAGCGCTCACTAAAATGCAGCGAAAAATTGCAGCTGGTGACTGTGTGACCACCAAAGTGGTGCTGAAGAGACGATTTGATGACCGTCGTAAGGGGAGTTTTGATCCGGTGCGCACCCAGTGCCAGCAAGGGACTGATCTCTAGAACACGGTATCTGACGCCTATGCTTCAGATTCATAACGGGACACCGAGAGTGGAAAAAAAGGAGAGAAGAACAAGCGCATAGTTCTGGTCGAGCTAGAATGATCCACCAGACTACAGCGTAGTACAGTTTTGACATGGTCTTGCACACCATGGCTCTTGAATAGGCGTTCTGATCGACTAGTACCGGTGATATTCCCAACTACCTCACGGAGAGATTCCATGGCGTTTCCATCTCGGGTTGCAGTATTCGTAACGAGTTTTTGCATCTCCCAGATGTTGACTCGCCAGGAAAACTTAATGTTTCATTTGTAATGATTCTTCTGGACGCCTTGGATGTTCTACTTGGTCCCAATCACTTTTATCAATGGGCCATAAGATAGTGATAGTAGTACGTGTTCATAGGTGTTCATAATTGAAACAACTCTGTTGCCATAGCTGCACCGCCTCTCCGAGTATCCCATTCGCGCTAGCGTCTCTACCAGCCAGGGTACCCTTTAAGCGGATGAAGGTCGTACATTGCAGCGCTACAAGCGTCACGGGTAATAACCAGGTACATTTCTTGCAGGCAGTTTATCGAAAGTTGACCAACTCCGAGATACATGTCTCCGCCTTCCCAATATGATGATCTCGCATCCTGACTGGTCCAGTTCGCATCGATAGCCTTGACGGTCAGGTCCTCCAGAGTTCGGTCTTCCTTGCGTGGATCCGTTTGAAATTGCAACCCAGCCAACATATCGACTGCAGCCGCGTCGATCACAAGACATACACTGTATCGGCATTGAGGCCGCGACGAGCGACCGGGTAATAGCAAGTCGAGGCCACCCATCAATGCGCGAAAGTTCTCGCGCACGCGATGGTCGCTGGCACCCGCCAGTTCTTCCTCGTCTTTGATCAGTTCCAGCTTGAATCGTTTGCGCAGCTCCTCTTTTCTGTCTTCCGGCCCTTCACGAGCTTCGAGATGACGCTCGACTACCTGCACCCAATTCACCATTGCCTGCTCCAGTTTTTCCAGCGTTGCATCGTCATAGCTCGTCAGAAACACATAAAATCCCCACGTCCCGTCGTAAGGCCTCGGTGCGCGGACGTCTTCATCCCAGTCGACAGTCGCCCAGCTATCTATCTCCTCCAATAGATTTATCATGTCCTCATCGTCAGCTGTGAACAAAGCCCTACTCCGGTCGCTCGCATTCCGCTCTGCAGCCGCTTTATCCGACGTATATCGTTCCGTTTGGAGATCGACTGCTGATACGGAGCCGAAGGCTTGAATAGCAAAGGCTCTACGAAGAGGTACAGGTCGAGAGCTGAGCGAGGGGTCGCCTGGGATGTCGGGCGTTGTCCGGCCACCACGACCGCGTCCTGTCATTCTGAACTGCGACTGTACGGTACAAAGGATACAAAGAAGGAAAGAAGAAATAATTTATCGTGGGTAATAGTCTACGAGAGCAGTTGATGGAAGCATACTGAGTTTTTACATGTTTTCAAAACTGGGTAGTTACCTTCGCTTATTAGGCAGCCGTTCAAGCCACCATATTAATCTTGCACCATTCCTGCTTCTACTTTCGACTTGTCTATCGTGGTGTTCAGACTTCTTCGCATGGCCTCTAACTCTACGATCAATGCCGCTATGCACTCCATTAGTTCTTTCTCTTTCTGCACAGCGAGCGCCAAAGCCCCCAGACCGCTAGCTGATCATGGGTTCGATTGTCGATTTGGACAGCGTTGCGTATTATGTACGCGTCGTGAGTTGATGCCGATGCTCGGCTTCTAAAAATAGGCATGATCAAGACCCTAATTTCGATCATCGAGGACGACGCACGCACGCAGTCAAGTACTGTGTAGATCCTGAGGTAGTGACAGCTGACACTCGCACCAGCAAGATCAGAGCCCCGCGTAGCATGGAGAAGACAATATCCAGAGCATGAAACATGTCGTAAGCCGGTCGGGTGCTATGCCCTTTCCCCATCAAACCAATACTCGAATAGTTACCTCATCGACATTGTCACAGCGTATACCATTTCTGACCTCGCACTAGCATCGACATGCGCAACGTACGAAATACACCCATTCATCGTTCGGCGTGCGGATGTCGAAGTGTATAGTACAGGTCATCAGATGTTGCTACATACGATTGTCGAGCCGTTCCGTTAACAAGCATCGCGAGCGCATGCACTCAGGTACAGCATTCCCCAGACGGTAAGGCGATGTCAATCAACGCTGGAACTCCGCCTCATCAGGTATGACCTTGATGCCTAGAGAGCGAAAGAAAAAGTACGTGAGCATGTGCGGCGGAGCATTGTACCAAGGTCCTATTTTATTGGATCGTGCTCGGCAGCGAAAACGCCCGCAGAGTCGGAGCTGCTTCATGCAAGGCACAACGTGTATCGCGAGTGTACGTGCAGTCGCAACGCCACTTCTCCACTGAAACCACGCTTCCGGCTTACAGGTTCCTGGCGTGCGGACCGAACATCTCCTGATCGAAGCTCTTCCGTCGCATCCAATGCCAGGTTCTCCGCCTCAACAAGATCGACCTAGCGAAGCATACGCGGATGCCAAATGATTGATCTTCAGTCGATGAGGTGTCGCCATGACCATTGTTCTTCCCTATGCGCTGCCAACTTTAACCTTCATCGCGATGCCGCTCGGCGGCGAAGGAGTGCAGCGTGCAAAAGACCATGAAGATCATGCGCTGGTGCCAATTTTAGGTACTTGCGCAGCATCACCAAGACCGCGTTCGGCGTCAAAGGAAGTACAGGACGTAATCCGGTGCTTACTTCGGCCAGCACGGTATTGACGGGCACCACTGACTTCACCGCATCATCGAAGACACTGTGCCTGGCTGTCATCGCATAAAAGCCACTGTACCGCGCGCATCAAGTGTATAGCATCCGATAAGTTCCCCAACGATTGCACGACTCTACGATCAAACTACAATTACACACTCTTACCATACCACAATCACAATGCCTTCCCTCACTAACATTCTCGCCCTCGGTGCGCTCACTACCCTCGCCGCGGCCGACAACATCTACACATACACCAAGCCTGGCTGCACTGGTCCTGCCTTCTTCTTCAAAGACATCGACCACAACGTCTGCGCCGTGTCTATCACCGGCAATGCTACCTCCACGGCCGATGCGATTGCAAAGGGTAAGAACATCGAAGTGCAACACGCACATGACAATATCTAATCACTTCCAGGTCTGACAACCGTTGCATCCGGAAAGCTTGAAGTCCAAGAGACGGGCAAGAAGCACTTCCTAGCCTGGGACGAAGGCCCAGCCTCCAACGCAGATGGTCCCCTCCAATGCGGCACTATCTCAAAGAACATTGCTGTCAAGGAGCGCGAGACCTGCATCTCCGGTTCTATCCATGGATTCTCTTGGACTGAGCCCGGTGCAGATGGCAATGACTCGAACGACTTTGATATGGATGATGATGATGCGGATGATGTTGACGACAAGGTCAAGCGTCAAGCCAACGACGACCCCATCTGGACATGCACTGGTTCTACCGACCCTGATGCTGTACACATTGGCGGCAAGTACTACAACGTTGATGATATTCCAGCAGCAGATAAAGAGGCGTTGATGGAGTGCGCGTGGAATGATGTCACTCCGGGTGCGGAGTTTGACAAGTACGTCTTTACACCTGACTTCTAGATAGAAAGAAGGCAAACGGAGTCGCTCCAGGATAACTATATCTTCGAGCAAGGACAACGGACAATCATATCGTGTTCATGGCTACTGTGAACAGTAATAACATACGCTTAACACTTTCATGTTGACCTAATTCCCTCAATTTTGCGTCGTGTGGAAAAAAAACAAAAAACAATTCCATACGCCATTCACAAATCAATTATCAGGACGTGCTGCGCTCACCGCTTCAGACCGTTGCCTACGGTAATGGCGAACGCCGCCTAGTAACAGAAGACTTGAAGTATTTCTGGTAGCGTTCCAGATCGAAACTACCGTCTTCAAGTTCCTTACTGTTAGGTTCACCTGCCCAGCAGAACGTCCGACAGTTCTTGATGACCTCTCCATCTTTTAAAACTGCATTACACTCGTCCCATCTGTAAGCGGCAGTCTCGTAAGCCGCCAAACGGTCGAATTGGGATTCCGAGGTCACCTCCCACACAGTTCCAGTGACGCTTCCAGAGTGGCAGGGTATTAATGTTGGATATATGCCCCACATCTTGATACTGAAACCAGAAATGGTACCAGGCCTTGTAGTCGGGAGTTCTGGGAGGTCGAGGATTACTTGGAGGACCTCAGGATCCATGAGCGAACCGTAGAAGAACATATGGAATGGTTGGAAGGGTTCACCAGGCATGTTTGCTTTCGTGTCTTTGAGGAACTGCCAGTAGTGTGCTTTGTCTATGGGCTCAAAAGCTCCAGAAGGCACCGGAGGAGGTGGAGGTACTGTACTCGCCGGTCTTGACGGTTTGGACAGCTGTGGAGGTGGAGGTGGGGGCGGAGGTGGAGGCGGCATTGCAGGACTTGGTAGCGAAGTATCATCTTCTCGACGAGATGAGGGCGGAGGCGGAGGCGGAGGTGCATCGTCCATTATGGAAGCTGCTGAACGCAAAATTACACGTCGGCTTTCGCAATAGGGTTATTCGTTAATGTTCTGACTTTTCGATTGTTGCGAAAATGTTTCCTCTGCAGCCGTTCTACTAAGACCATTGTTCAGCGCTTATTGTGGCGTAAGACGGTCATGATCAGATGAAACAGCTAGACCCACAACGGCCCTACCGAGGGTCGGTGCTACAGTCACGCCGTTCCGAGCGCCACGCAGTCAGCCTCGGTATGCGCGCTAGCCTGTCTGAGCCTAGACGTACGAAGCGCCAGCCTTGACCGGCAGTACCGTAGCTTCAAAAAAGAGAACATCAGATTGCTATTTCACAATTCGAAGTAGCGCTTAACTGTGCCACTGTCTTGAAATCACTAGTCACTCAGTTCAATTCGCTATGCTTGGTCCAAACATGCAACATGGCCGAACACTGCCTTGGAGCCTCAGCAGGCGCGCGCGTTCTCGAGACTGCATTATTGGAATTCAGATCGAACGATGAGGGTATATACGACTATATATCAAGCTAAGAAGTATCTTTAAACTGTGGGACACACTTCAAAATTATTATCTCAAGAGTACATTCATCGAACCTTCTATCACTATTACTTTAACTTTATCGACACATTCTTCTTCTTGTTTTATATCCCATATCATCTATTATGGCCTCCTCTGGTTCAGCTCCGATTGGACTCCGCTTCGGTGCAGAACTCGAAGTCCTGACCGGTAGCAAAGCCAACGAACTTAGTAAAGAGCTTAGTGGTGCTCAAGTGAAAAACCATGTGAACTCTGATCATAACAAAGACGCAGAGGACTACTCGGAATGGTCTATCATTCAGGAAGTCACGATCACGAACCAGATGATGCAAAACAAATGTAAGTTCCTTCGGTTCTCAGACAACCGTTTTCCCAGTTACGAAGTCAGTCAAATTCTACCAAAGCGACAGGGGGCATAGAGCTGGTTTCCCCAATTCTAGACTTTCAAGATCAGCGCACTTGGCACTGGCACATGGATGCAGTGTGGTGGGTGTTGTCTACGAAATTCAATACCTCGTCTACTGCCCAATGCAGTACGCATGTTCACATTTCTCCAACTCAAGGGAGCTGGACCCTTTCACAAGTCAAGAGACTTGCAAAGGCAGTGCTCTACTACGAGAGGTCTATCGATACTCTTCTGCCACAGGAACGCCGCCAAAATATCTGGGCTCAAAGTAACCGCCACAACACCATCACAAAGCCTCAGGACGTAGCCACGCTGTTCACATGGATAGATGGGGCAAAAGATATCCCTTACATTGCCCTCATCATGTGCGCTTTCTCGAAGGATTCCCAATATGGGCGAGACGTGGGAAAAACCCAAGACTTCGTACACAATGTTTTCCGATGGAACTTCATGCCGCTCACAAAAGGCTCGATGGGAACCATCGAATTTCGCCAACCACCTGGATCTTCCAACGCGGTCGCTACCAAGCTTTGGGTCACGTTTGCTGCCTCGTTCATTCAAGGGGCAATATTGTATGCAGACAATCTGAACGGAACTCAGCCACCGACTCTGGAGGGCTTCAGAAGCCTCTTAATCAATGGCGCGATCCAGTCAGGGGTCGCTGACTATAGTGCCCTCAACCAGCTCTTCGAAGGCAAGACTCAGCTTCCTGCAGGAGCGTACAACTTGGAGGGGCTTTCTTCACAAGACCTTGCAAAATTGAAAGTCAAGGCTGCGCAAAGCAACATTACAGTCGAGAAGTTCAAGAAGCTCTATGGGTATAGGTAGACGTAGATCTCGTGGAGGATGTTTGCACCACCCAGTGCAATCTTGTGTACATTATTTTCCCTTTCGCAATACATTGCGTACGTCACATCATCCCATGGTCCATGGTCATACCAATCGATGCGTCACCATCTCTTTGCACAATGTCCACGGCACCACTAACTTCGATGAAGTCTTCCAACTCTTCGCTCGTCGTCTTCAGCTTTTCCTTCACAGCCGTAACACCTTCGGAGCCCACTATGTGCCGTGCAGGTGGATTATCATGGCCACCGATTGCCGTCAGCGCATGCACGGTCTCCGCAATCAGATCACTCTTGACTCGCATCGGTAACGGGGCATACAAACTCGTGACGGTATCCGAGCTTAACAGGTCGCCCATTGTCGGTTCGGCGTCTGGATTCATATCCGATGCGATGCTTTCTTCTCCAGGCGACTTGGTGGCGTTCTCGTCGAATGAGGGATGAGCAGCGGGATTGTCGATGCGTTCAAGCTTGTCGAGCAGACCAGAGAAGATCTCGCGAGCTAGAGGCGCAGGGTTCTCGCCTTGTAGGTACTCGGACATGGGCGGTACAGAGGTTATGCGATTAGTGAGAACGTTGACTTCCATGTTGGCTTGAACCAGAGACATCTTGACGTTGAAAGGAGCAATCTCGTAGGCGAGGCTGTCGCAGTATCCTTCAACTGCCCACTGCGATGAGCAATACATGCCCAAGCCAGGGGTTCCAAGATGGCCGGTAATTCCAGTTATGACAATGATATGTCCATTCTTCCGTTCGCGCATGACGGGAAGCACGGCTTTCATGATGTTCACGTTGGCGAAGAAGTTGATCTCGAAGATCTCATCCACTAGACTCCTTGTCCGACTAGTCTGCGCGAGCTCTTCAACCGAACCGATCACGGCTTCACTTGCTGCGCACAACAAGACGTCGATGCGCCCAAACGCCTCTACCGCCTCGGCGACGGCTGCTTGGCATTGCCCAACCACCCTGCACAACAACATCTGTTAGCAACGCGACGGCGTCTGACTTTGGTTGGAATCATTGCATGCTCACCTGCTATCAAGTCCAACAACTCTCAAATGCTCTCGCCACCGATCCGTCGCCTTCACATCCTCGAGAAATGTACGAAAGTCTTCACTTTGACCCTCTCTCTTCTCAAACTCAATCGGCATAACGCCCGCGACAACATAATCGCCATGCTCGAGCACCTGCCGTGCTAACGCGATTGCGATGGGCGATGCGCCTCTTGTGATGAACCAGACGCGAGGAGCATTGTGGGGCGGAAAGTGCGGTGACCTTGGTCGCGGTGGTTTCGTCGACGATGCCGGTTGCGCGTTACTCGTCATGTCGCGGGTAGACTTGTCTGTGTATACCTCATGGCGACCGGTGTGTGAACATGCTTCGCGATGGGGATGCGCGGTGCATCTCAAGTGGGGGCCTCCACAATGACGCTAGCCCTCACCCCACCTTAGCGCGCACGAAAATGACATTGCAGTCACAACCACCATCTCGAGACTTGCCAAGACTTGGGGATAGTGTTGATTATCACGAACCAGCTCTAAAACTACGTTGAAGACTCACTTCTTGTATATATTGGCTGTCTTTTGTCGTTTCCCTCAATCTTGTGGCACCAAAATTCAGTTCGCCTCCTTGGAACCTATCAAAGTTCTCTTTCACCTTCACTCCGGGTATGTCGACTCAAACATCATGCGCCTGCCATCTCCCAGCCTCTCTCCTTCCAATGTCTGGCTCGTCTTCTCGATCTCATCTAGCTTCGTTGATGGGAACACATTCGTTCAGTTGCAAACTTTCATCTTCAACTTACTCTCTATCCTACAAGCCAGTTACACGGTCTCACCTTGTTTTCAAATAATGGCTCCATCTACACGCATCCCATTTCATTTCGTTGCCTTGCAAAAACACCCAAAACCTACATCATGAATCTTCTTGGCTAGAGTCCTGCTCAGGCGGCTAACTTCGAGCCAGACAGTCCAGTACGCCTCTACCCTCAACTGACCAGCCTTTCAGTTACCATCATCTCCATTGCCGAGTGTCAAAAAGACCCATATTGCCAAGGGATTTCAAAAGACGAGGTAGCCTTCTTCTGTGGGTTTGAAGACCGTCAAGCCCGTCGCCAGCGTCAGATCAAGGTCCGATCAGCCAACCGTCAGAGCTGAATCGAGTGTGACAACCGCAGCTGCACAGGCCGTCGCAAGCGCGTCACTGAAATCCATCTTCCATTCCCGATGAGTAAGGCATTCTCGCTGGCGCAATACCAGCGCCATGCTGTACATTTAATGTCCCGTGTTCTGAATGTCCGGACCAACGCCTCACCCTTCACACTTGTCCTCGACGATCTCAACCAGCGCTCCGATCTCTTCATTGCAGAGATAGTCAGGCGAGCGCTCTCACGCAATGTAAATGTCGTCTTCGTCACGTTCGAGTCCCGACCTTCCATCGCTCCCATCCGCACAGTCCAAGGCTACGGTCTCACCGGCGAAGAGATCCTACGCGACCTCAGCAAAGCCGTGTCCGACTGCAAGGAATCACTCGTTGTTGTTGAAAACCTGTACGAGCTCGTCAACAATAAGGGGATCGAGATGATTCGTCTTTTCGACCTTGTTGCCAACAAGTTCGCATCCACACTCGTTGGCGTGTTCCACACCGACATGCTCGATGCACCCCCAGAGTCTCCCTATGCGCCGCAGCCACTGGAACTCGTCAAATACATGGCTACCTCGATCATAACATGCAAGTCCTTTGCACACTGCCTCGCCGCCAAGGCCGCCAAACAGCGCAGCTTGCCAGAGCCTACGTGGGGTCTGCTCCAAGGCGCCGAAGGCATTGTTCAGTGTCTCGACGCCAACGACCGCCGCGGCATCGTCCTCGAGGCAGAGTTCCGACGCAAGTCTGGTCGTCCAGAAGGTGAGACGTACTTTCTGCGTGCGCCTCGGCACTCCGATTACCACGCGCCTGTTCCCGGTATGCCTACTGGAACGTTGAAGACGGAGTACGTCGTTTTGCTTGAACAGGTACCTGGGTATGCCGATCAGGGTGTTGTCGACACTGTGGATGCGACGGGTCAGGAGGTCGAAAGTACGTTCAACCTGGGCCTGACTGAGAAACAGAAGCAGGCAAGAGAGGGTGTTGTACTGCCATACTTTGACGCGCAAAAGGGTGAGGGTGCTGGTGAGGGCGGCAGAATTCTGTATGATATGGGCAGTGAGGACGATTTTGACGAAGAGGAAGATGAGATCTGAGTGCCGTTTGCGGGCATTGACTTCAAGATTCACTGGCGCTGGTCGCGGATTTGAGGTGGGATTTTGAGATACCCTGGACGTTTTGGCGATGGGAGAACGAAAGAGATCAGGTTGGCACTGATCATATGCGACGGAGCTTGACGAAACTCTCAAGGCTCCTCATCTCCAGTAGGATGTTCGCTCGAGCGAACGGCTGCCTCCACAGTAGAGCTGAGACATAGATGGAAACATTCAAAGCCCCATCACTTGCCCCTTCCCCAATGCCTATGCAGCGAAAAACCTTATTACGACATCATGTCTAAACCTTTGTATTGTGTGTGTTTCGTCATGAGCTTGGAGGTTGCATATGTACCCATGGTTAGGGTTTGAATGGTCAGCCTTGGCGTCCGTACTCACTCAGCGACATTCGCGACCCAAATCATTTCCTTTGCGCCAACTCTTACCGCACACCACACGCGCCACCGCACACTATGGCAGACAACGAGAGACCCCGCGCGACTTACAGCGATCCTTTCGAGCGCGACACCCGCCGCGCGCCCCGCGAAGCTCGCGATCGAGGCGGCACACCCACCGAGCGACGAGGCAACCGGTCGCGCAGCCCCCACGAGCGCGGCAGTCGACGTGACGCGCGCTACCGCTCGAGGTCGCCTTTCCGCAAAGATGAGCGTGACAGCGGAAGTAGGGGAGGACAAGGGCGAGGCCGTGGTCACGACCGCGGACGGGGCCGCGACGATAGGCGAGCTGGAGGCAGAGAAGGCCGAGACGACGAGCGCCCGTCCCACCGGGACAACCGCGACCGCTCACCCCCCAAAGGCCCTCGTAACCCCGGAAAACCCCCCGTCCACGGTTCCAACGCCGCACGCCCTCCTACCGGCCCTCGCTCCTCTGCCCCCAGCGCTATCAAGAAGGAAGAGGCCGAAGCCGACGAAGACAAGCCAGACGTTGAGATGGCAGACACACGACAGAAGCCTGACGACATGGACGACGACGAGTGGGAGATGCTGAAGGTCATGGGGTTCGGAGGGTTCAAAAGCACAAAGAATACAAAGGTTCCGGGCAACGATAAGAATTTTGGGGTGAGAAAGGACAAGCAGTTGCAGGCTAGGCAGTATATGAACAGACAGGGTGGATTCAACAGGCCATTGAGTCCCAGTCGGATGTAGGCGAGGGATAGGGAAATCAAGGCACAGGATGACTATGATCACGGTCGCGTCACATGCGATGAAGGGTCCACAGGCACATTCGTGGGGGCAAGGGGGATAGTACTGTGACGATAGAACAGATCTGTCACTGTTTTCCTGGTGTATATCTCAGCAGGACGACGGTCGCATCGGTACATGCAGTATAAGGCGGGCTGGGATGCCATAGCACGACCTAAGTCCACCGCGGAGCAGCTCCTGGTAGGGCGCCTTTCCACCTCCTACAACCCTCAAACACCTCTTCTTTAGTCTGACCATAACAGAAGGAGCTCGGTCTGCGAGCGAAGTAGCTGCATGCAGTAGCTATATCAGTTTGAATTCTTTGCAAGGACTCGAGCGGTAGCATGAGAAATACCACGATACCACGCAATCCTACACACCAGTCCTATAGCCTCCCCGTGATGCACTCGATTAATCTTCTACACGCATGCTGGGTGGACGAAGTCTGTCTTGTTGCGTATGCTTGACGGTGGAAACGATGGCCCAGAAAGGCGCCCCCCACATGAGCCAATCAGCGCGCCAATAACCCCCGACCTCCGCGAAATGTGTCCCGAACCTGCCCCCGCAAAGCTCCAGACAGCTCCAGCTTGGGCACCATACAACACCATGACGCGCGAATCTCGGCATGGCACCCTTTGGAAAGGGCTGACGTGCCTTTTCGCCCTCCAATTGCCTTTTGCAGGTGCGCAGGTCACAGAGGTTGAGAAGGCAACCAATGCGAGCTTGCTCTGGGGACCCTACCGCCCCAACCTCTACTTTGGCGTCCGGCCACGCATACCAAAGAGTCTGATGGGCGGGTTGATGTGGACGCGGGTCGAGGATTACCAAAGCGTGCAGCACAGTAGGTTGTCACCTCCGAACCTCAATGAACACCAATGCTGACCTGGCAGACTTCAGACACACTTGCGAACAGCACGAGCTCGATGGCTACGGTTGGGACGAATACGACGTACGCAGCGGCGGCCGACAAACTATCCACGATCCCGCCAACAAAATCGACATCACCACCGAGTTCATCAAGTTTCCCGGTGGAGAGCACGGCGGTAGCTGGGGTGCGAGGATCAAGGGCACACCACGGGAAGATGCTGGCCCCAACCTGCGAACGACCGTCGTCTGGTACAACACGCTCGAGGGCTTCGGAAACTTGGAAGTCGCAAATGCGGACCCATCTGAGCCTGGCATGGAGGGCGATGTGGTTTTGAAGGGGCAGACTAAAGAACTGGGCGAGTTTGAGCTCACAGTCACGGATGGCAAGGGCAAGCACCCTGTTCATGAACACCCCAGCTACGATGAGAAGCCATTGGATCGGACACTCGTGCACAGCGGGCAGGTACCAGAAGAAGCCGTATGGCAGGTCAAGGCCATGATGTTCGCACACATGAAGGGCCAGATCGACGTCTTGGTCCCCAAGTACGGCGAGCAGAACCCACCACCGCCAGAGCAGGTTTACACAATCCAGCATCTACCCGGTAAGGGCAACATGCACCTGGTGCAGAAGGTCTTTGAAGGTGCCTTTGAGTTCGACGTCATCTTCTCGTCTGGGTCCGTGCCGGAGAAGATTACGTCGGAGCATCTTACGCAGCAGATCGATTCCGTCACGTCGGGCTTCTCGACTCGCTTCACGGACATCTTCAAGCCTCAGCCGCCTTTCGTAAAGGAACGCTACGAGGAGTTTGGCAAGTCGCTGTTTTCGAACCTCATCGGTGGCATCGGCTACTTCTTCGGTGACTCCCGTGTCGATCGATCCTACGACCCTGCGTACGAGGAAGATAGCGAAGGCTTTTGGGAGGAGGCTGCCGAAGCGCGAAGCAGGAACCAAGCCCAGCTCGAAGGACCGTCTGAGTTGTTTACCGCCATTCCATCGCGACCCTTCTTCCCCCGCGGTTTCCTGTGGGATGAGGGTTTCCATCTCCTCCCCGTCATCGACTGGGATGCCGATCTCACTCTCGATATCATCAAGAGTTGGTTCAGCCTCATGGACGAAGATGGCTGGATCGGTCGCGAACAGATTCTCGGCCCCGAGGCCCGCAGCAAAGTACCAGAGGAGTTTCAAGTCCAGTACCCTCACTATGCCAACCCACCAACACTGTTCATGGTCATCACGTCCTTCCTCGACAAACTAGACGTCATCAAGACCGACACCAGTAGCGAGAAGCTGCAACAAGAAAAGTCCTACTCGATGCAGCTCTCGAACCGCGAAGCCGCCCTTGAGTACCTCCGCTCGCTCTACCCCTTGCTCAAGCGCAACTACTTCTGGTACCGCAAGACCCAGGCTGGCGACATCAAGAGCTACGACCGCGAAGCCTTCTCTACCAAGGAAGGCTACCGTTGGCGTGGACGCACACCTTCGCACATCCTCACCTCCGGTCTCGACGATTACCCTCGCGCGCAGCCACCACACCCTGGTGAGCTGCATGTCGACCTGATCAGCTGGATGGGCATGATGACGCGCGCAATCAAACGCATTGCAATTTACCTCGACGAACAAGACGACGCGGCCGAGTTTGCGCGCTACGACGAAGCTATTGTCCGCAACATTGATGACTTGCACTGGAGTAAAAAGGATAAAGCGTACTGTGACGCTACCATTGATGATTACGAGGAACATTCTCTTGTTTGCCACAAGGGCTATATTTCGCTGTTTCCCTTTTTGACGGGCCTCGTGGACAGGGAAAGTGAGAAGCTGGGCCATGTGCTTGACTTGATCGAGGACGAGGAGGAGCTGTGGAGTCCGTTTGGTATTAGGAGTTTGAGCAAGAGCGATGAGTTTTATCATACGGCTGAGGATTACTGGCGGGGTCCGGTGTGGATGCCGATTAATTATTTGGCTGTTAAGCAGTTACTTGTAAGTCTCTCTCTCTCTCTCTCTTCTTTACTGCCACTACGCCTTCTCGTGCTTTTTCATTCTTACTAACCCTACGTGTCTCTCCAGAACGTCGCGACTCAGTCCGGTCCCCATCGTGCTCGCGCAACTAAAATCTACACCGAACTTCGCAACAATTTGGTCAATACTGTTTATGAGAGTTGGAAGGAGACGGGCTTTGCGTGGGAACAATATAACCCCGAGACGGGTAAAGGGCAGCGCACGCAGCATTTTACGGGCTGGACGAGTTTGGTGGTCAAGATTATGGCTATGCCGGATCTGAGTGGTCAGAGCGGGCATGATGAACTCTAGGTTGGAGAGGACACGTACCGCATACTGTCGCAATCGTGAGAGAGCTGTGGGGCATACTCGCTGCGTTGCGGAGGCTGTATGTATGGCTTACGTAAGTTAGTGGAGTTACGAACGCAATTCAAGAATAAGGTTGCTTGCCTGCGAGTATACGCTTTCGTGGGCGCAGGCGCTCGACCACGCTTGAGTGCAGCTGCAGAGGCGGAGTGTGTGAGTTGTCTGGTCCGTCGGGTTGCGTCGCTACTGCACCAGCGCCCTGCATCGGTCAGGGTTGCTGCGGACCCGGCACAGATGGGTAGCTTTGAATTACTTCGCTACGTAGGGTAGTAGCAGAAATGATTCTTTTCAATCTTCCTGATAACGGAGCGCATTTCATGAGTAGGCTCAGAGGCTGAGGTGACGGATAGTTGATGAGACACTCTCGTCTAGCGCATTACCATCAAGAGCAGACATATTAGGACTGTGATTGTATTCCTCACTCAAATTTTGAAATCGCGTGTAGCACGCCTGATATCTTGATACTAGGTACAATGAGTTTCTTCCAACTTCAGATAGCCTTGAGCATGACATCAGAGCCTATAGCCATCATCGGCATGAGCTATCGCTTCCCAGGCGTGGTGCCACTGAGCCAGCTCATCTTTATGGGGGTTCAACGTCAACCCGACATACCATTGACACCCTCCAATGCGGCGATCTGGGAACGAACGAGATCTTGGCACCACGGGAATGGATTGCCGGATCTTGCCAGGGACATGTATCGCAGGTATTGCTCCCTTGGAAGCCACTCTGAGCATATAACCGGAAGCATTCCGTTATCTGCGACGTGAGTGGCGAAGAGGATGCGCGAAGTTCTTCCGTTGCCATCTTGGAACGGATGGATGCTCACGTAGTAGAAACTGTCCCAAGCTGCTTTGAGCAAAGGGTGAATTTCGGAATCGTTTTCCCCGACAACAACAAAGTCTGACCACCGTTTAAGATTTTGGCGCAGTTCCTGAGGATAGGGAAAAATGACCTTGGGGTCCGAATGAACCTGGATCGGGAGGGTGCGTAGCTCGCCAGGCTTGAAGTGGACTTTTGTGCCGAGAAAGAGGATGCGTGAGATTGTTCGTATGTCTTGGAGCAACTCTTCGGGCTTTGTTGCACGTTGCAGGTGTCTGCTGGATATTGCAGCTTGTGTCGCAACAATGTTGTTGCGTAACTGAAGGTACTGATCTGACTTTGCGGCAGTACCTTGATCTAACAGCACCAACTCTTCTGCTGATGGTAGGCGAATTTTCATCGCCTCCTCGAATACGTGCTCGCTCTTCGGCGTCACCTTTGGTAAACTTGCCTTGATTCTTCTTGCGCTCGCTAACGAAAGAGAGTTGTTCTCGATCATGCAGCTTTTCCAAGAGAAAACAGCAAGAACGTTGCTGCAAAGCCTTCTATGATGAAGCCCAACGTTCAAAGGACATCTCTTCTTACACCCTAGGTGGACTTTCTCACGCAGATTGTCCAACCTGCGTAACTCTTCCTTCAATTTCTCTTGTGCCGCCATCCACGGCTCCTTGTTCCGGATGTTGTAGATCGAGTCCCAGACACTTCCAGACTCTGCAAATCTCGTCCACTCTGGCCCATCTTTGACCAGGCTGTTGAATCGTCCGTAGTGTGTCTTGAGGAGTGCGTTTCGTGCCGCGATTATTTCCTTCGTCCAGGGCATTCTTCTTGCTTCGTTCTTCACGGCGTTGAAGCTTTTTAGGGGTTAGTGTAGGTGCAGAGGGGTTTTAGGAGGTTAAGATTGTGTGCTTATGTTGTCTCGGCAGCTATGCATCCTTGGTACCTGCCTGCTATGCTTCCTTGGTACCTGCCACGCTTCCACGGTACTTGTTCACTTAGCCGAGAGGCTGGAGAGCCCCGGAACGTCATATGAGGACGAGTCAAGGTATAGGCAGACGTCTACAACGGTCATACGAGTGGCTTTCATCGACACCAGAGTACAAAATCTGCTGCAGCCTATGCTGTTGACGCGCTGACGTTTGGAACCGCCTTGATTGTAATCATCGCGGTCGACTAACATCGATATTCAAATCCACTACCGTATCTATGCATCTCATGCCTAGGTTCGCGTAATGCCCAGGTATACTGATATTCCTCAACATGGAGCCTATAGTAGTTTAGCACCGACAGCGTAGCTACCGCAGCGGCCGGCTCTCTACATCCCACCCGCGTACACTTTGTCTATCACAATCTTCCCACACCATACCCCACGATCCTAAGTTCAAGTCGTCCTTTTCCACTGGCTTGAATGTGTTGGCGTCGGTCCACTCATTCTCCTCCGCCCAGGTCACAAATCCATGGCCCCAATCACCATAGCACCCCAGCCCAGCGCCTATGGATGTCTGACCTAGATGCGGAAACTGGCCGTGCAATGTCCACTCGTCGATGCTTCCATCTTCGGTGTGGGAGCAAGCGAAGACACGCACTCCCAGCACGCCGTACCAGCTGAAGACCTCGAGCACCGCACGGGCTTGTTCGAGCACTCGTACTGGCATCCATTTGATGCTGAAAAAGTGTTCCGCGCTGCGCGACGCCAGTGGGTCTTCGACCTCAGATACGGCGCAATTGCAAAGAGGGTCACTTTGGTCCCCGCTGGCTACATGCGTATGGAAAGCGATGTAATGCCGCTTTTTGTCCTTACGGCGCGAGATCTGGATGAGGTCCTGGCCCGTCGGCTTGGGTGACGAGGAAAGAGACGGGACGAGCGCGGTTAGCAGAGGGCTCACGATGGCAGTGTCTAGATTCGTGTCGCATTGATGCAGCCCCACGCATACCATGTCAGGGCTTCCACTTTGCTGACCGTAAATGGCTACTGTGGTCCCTTCATCGGATGTGGGCTTCACAGCCACGGCTTGATCGTAGCCCCAGCCCATCACATCGCCTACGAGCACTGATGCATCCTGTTCCGCTTCGAGCTCAAGGTCGAAGTCTGCAGTCACGAGGTTGGCGTTTCCGGCATCGTCAAAGTCAATCTTTGCTAGATTCACCCACTCACTGTCCTCCTTAGGCCCGGCACGCGCGAGCAAGATGCTCAGTTTGGAGGTACCGGCACCTTGAAATGACTTGACGAAGCCGTAGGGCGCCTTGGGAAGAGACAGTGTCGTTTGCACCAAGCTTTTGCCCAGTACTCCAACTATCACTTGATTCTCGGATTGTGAGACGGCGACAATCTCTCTCCCAGCGATGAAGTGACCGGTAATGAAGCGAGTAAGATTGACCATGAAGTTCGCGGGGACGCTGCTTAGAATGGTTGCCTGTCTGGTCCATGAAGTACTCACCTCCCAGGAATGCTTTGGTGAGAAGGTAGCACAGGTGCCATCGGAGAATCCATTGGGACCTAGTTCCGATGAATACTCCGTCCGTGTCATCTCGATATTCCAGCTCCTATCGGCCATCACTGCGTAGGTGAATCCGATGATGCCAGTCCTCCCGCCGGATCGCATCCAATGCATAACTTCTCTGCTCGGCGCGATGTCCTGATCGATGAGTCTGTTGCGAATGGTGAATGTCGATTGGGTCTTTTCCGCAAACTTGACTTCAGCAGGGGCCCAAAAGTTGATGCAGCAGCCCTCACTGGCGCTGCCGTCGAGATCTTGGATCTGAATGAAGCCGCCGGATAGCAACCCGTCAATTGAGATTTGCATCGGGAATTGGCCATTCACCACAAAGTCAGCAGCCTTGATGGTGTTGCCATGGCTGGCATCGCCTGGCGATTGAGTTCGTCGAGCACCGTGGTTGGAATGGTCGTTTAGGTCCTTACGAACCGTGCATTGGCTTTCGGTGACGTTATCGTGCGAAGCTATCCACAGTGGGGCAGGATTGTGCTTGTCGTATCCGCCCCATCCGCTGTTCTTCCAGTCCTGGGGTTCTATAGCGGTCATTGGCTGGGGCATGAGTTGCATGGCCCTGAACCAGCTTTTGTTCTTTTCCCAATCCTCAATCTGTCTATCGCCTTTGTATCCGACACGAAACACCTCGGCAGTTGACTCTTTCAAGCAATACATGCTGTCATCGTTAGCAATTTGTGCGGCTTGCGAGAGATGTGTAAGAGGCCTACCATCGAGCGCGGTTCACCGAGGCTTGTGGCTCCATGAATTGCTTATCGCCTGGAGACACGTTAGAAAAATTTCGAGCGTAGTTGGCATCCTCTCACCATATTCAATCCACTGGTCTCCAAGCTTATTGCGAACCAAGAGGCCCGTCGCGCTGTCATCGTCGTGCATCTTATTCAATCAGCTTTGCCCACCAACGAGGGCCATGTACTAACGTATCGACATTGAAAGTCCCAGACTGCATTATGAATCGCACCGGATATCCCCATGGACCAATAATTTGGGTTGTGGAAGGCCCGCCGAGGAGCCCGGAGATGCCCTGAGCTGAAAAGGTCTGTGAGGAAATGGGCTGCGAAGGCCTCGTGAACGTAAGCCATGCGAAGCATTTTCATCTTTGCTTCATCTGTAGGCTCGTCGCGTGCCTTTCGTGCTATCTGGAGGGCGCTGGTATGACCGACACAGTATGCCATGACCGCGTAATCACCCTTGTCCAATTAGCTTACAACTCCAAGGCACTCGACTGCACTTACAAAGTGGTCTATGTTTGTGTAAGCGATCCAGGCATACATCGATGAAATTATGGGGAGGCCTGTTTCTGTCATTTTCGTATATTCATCGTCGGTTGGGATATGGCAATGTCCTTGGTCGTGGCTGTAAGGTATGTGCTCATGACTGAGATGGTTAGAAAGAGCAACAATAGCAATTGGCTACATACTATGCTGTCGCTGTGTTGTCTCCAGCTTTCGTGGCGGCATTGAGCGCATGGTGCTCGGAGGTAATGAGATCTCTGACTCCCTTCAAGTAACCGTCTGTGTCGCACAGCATGCTCTGGACCGCCGACTCGAAGCGGGCAAGAGGCCCTTTGGACGATTTCAGATCTTTCGAAGCCTCAAAGCCCTCAGCGTTTGAGATGGGAAAGTACGCCCCGGAGCTTTCTTTGTTCGTATAGAAGTCTCCAGCAATCGCAATGATGTTACTGAAATTCAAGTCGACGTCTCCTTGTTTAGTTTTCACTGTCACCAGAACCTCTTCAGTTGGTAGCTTATCGTCATGGATACTGAACAGTTCCACGAAGCGAGCTGTCTCTTCGTGTTCAGCAGCTACACAGTCATTATCATATTGTTAATAGAACAAGCAGACGTATCATACCTTCTAGCCAATGTCCTCGAAAGGGCTTTCTGTTCGGAACATGACTATTGACTGTATACTCGCAGTCTTCGCCTGAGATCTTTGGTGGGTTAAGGTATCCAAGCTCTTGGAGCTTCTGCTGGAGAGCTTCGCTGGAGCTTTCCGCAGCTGTAGGTGTGGCTGCCATACCTGCCGCCTCGGAAAAAAAATTGATCTTTGTAACACCTCACGAGCTGTGAAGTCGAGCTGAAGCGGAACTTATATAACACGCTCCTCATGCTGGGGGAATTGAATGGCTATTTCCCGCTATGCGACCATACCTGTCGAGTTGTATGGCACTTGTCAGTGCAGATGCATCGCTAGCGTGTTCGCAGTGTGATTGTGAGTTCTGTGCACGGGGCTTGAGGCCTAGACTGTTATCGATGGACCAAAATAAACCACACCATCCTAAAAGAGGTCGTCAAACTGCCGACAGCTGTCAGCCTCACCTACGTGGCTTGCGCGACCAAGAGAATCGAGCGGCCTAAGCGAGGGATGGGTACGGGCCGCAACCTAATTCAGCTTCCCCTCCCATCGCTCAGCCCCGTACATGAACACAACTTCCATACCCGAACCAGAACTGTCCATAGAGATCCGTCTAGAGCCCCAAGTGTTTGCGCGACCAAGCGAAGCGAGCGGCTTAAGCGAGGGCCGAATACGGGCCGCACCCTAATTCAGCTTGCGACCCCATCGCTCAGCTCCGTACAAAGACGCCGCTTCCATCTTCGATAATTCCTAAACCAGATCTGTCTTTGAAGACCTGTCTAGAGCCCAGATGGCGCTGATAGTTGAAGGCGGGCAGATGATTCCCCGACTCTTCGTGCGGCACCTATACTGTATATATATGTGAGTGTATCCAGTTGGCAATGCTTGTTAGTGAGCTTTGCAGCAGAACACATACTTGTACACCTTGCATCGCATCTACGCACACAGACACATCAATTCTTTTTTTGAGACATGGCAATCGAACTTCACACCCCTATTGCTAATAGCAAGGAGCGAATTTCGGGTCGACAGAAGGTATGTCTGCGAATCAGTGGCCTCTTGTCGATCTCCATACTTACACCCTCTATAGGCACAGGACGAGGCGGGCTCCGAGACTGTCAAGCCGACTGAGTTGTTCAAAAAGTACTTCGGTGGCATCTGGGTGAAGATCATTAACAAAACCCAATTCCAACTCAGCTATGTGCCCGGCGACCTGAACTACGGGGAGATGATCAGTGGCCCGCCCGCCGCCGATGCATGGAACACCGGAGCCTTCGGCGTTGGAGGCAATACATTCCTCGGTGTGGGTGTGAGACCGAAGGGTGGAATACAGATGCGCCTGAAGCTGGACGATGGTCACAATTTTGACTTTACCCTCGTAAGCTTGAACCCTCGACGCTTATAGCTGAGCGATCGGCATGCTGAGAATCAACTATAGGGACTCTCATCGGCACTGATGGGTAACTACAATGCGGCTTTGGTCAAAGGCCACGACCGCGACGCTGCCGTCAGGGCGCTGAACACAGCTGGTGGTAATATCTCATCCGACCAGTACGACGGAGTCACAGGCGATAACAAGCATACGAAGACTCAGTTCTTTATCAAAGTCGTCACCACGCCCGGCTACGAGATGAGTCTGGCGATCTCCCAGGAGGAGTGAAGTCTCGGCATTCCGCAGCGGTGTGTCCTAGTGTTCACAAACACGTCAGGGTTGTGTGTGACTTCTGCGTACTGCGAGGATGTCTGGGAGTTTTTGGTTAACAGGGCGCAAAGATGCCCTAGTAGATTGCGTAAGATGTCAGATGTTGTTCTTATTACTGCACTGGAAAGACAGTTTTCAGAGCTGCGGAGTTTGGGTATTTTGGAGGTTCGAGTACAAGTATAGCAAGGCATTTAGTACTAATTCGCTTAGGTGTAAGTAGTCGGATCAAGGGTCATCACCCTGCTTACATCTTTCGTGCCTCCTTCTCGCTTCCACATTCACGCATTGATGTCCAAAATTGGAAACTTCTATGTTTCGCTACATTGTCTTCCTGTTCTTCCCTTGAGAGACTTCGCTATGGCCCTGCCTGCCTCTTTGGCCCCTAAGGTTGCCCGTACCAGGAAACTCTACGAAGTCCCGCCCAGTGATATTGAACCTTTCGTCTGCAGTTGCTAGCATCAGTGGCCATGCTGCGTGAGTCAATTACACGGCTGCATGTACGTTCGAAAATACTTCCATGCACCATCGGCGAAACCAAGGCCTGTCCAGATTCGTCATCGATGTTGGTGTCGTTGCTGCCGTTAGGTTTGTCAGTGAGACTCCCGCTGTGCCCGCCACCATGAAACGTCAAGGTTATCCCACCATCTCTGTCGTTGAGCTTCTTACCACTCTCAATGACGCCGTTACTAACAGCGCATCGCAATGTCAGGCCGCAATCGGCTCAGTCCCAAAGGCCGATGCAAACATCACTGACTGGTTGAGCAACGCCTTGTGGCACATCAAGCCCAAGAATCTTGGAATTTTGGAGGTGCAGGACGAGCCGACAGCAGTGAGAATATTGCAGAGCACTTCGATCAGATCGGTTCTGCCAAGACTGCAAAACAGGCAGTCAACGCCATCGGACGCGCAGTGCTCGGCGAATCAAGCAAACTGAAAGTCCGTCTGGTGGACATTATCCTGCTTCACGCACTCCGGAGTCATACAGAGTGGACTCGCTAGTGGCGGTGGAATCACGCAACTGGATCGTGATAAATTTTGCTGCCTACGTCTTCCTCCTTTTGATTCGAGAGTCTAGGAGTATCGAAGAGCCTATCGGTCTAGTAGTAGGTGGGTCGAAGTTGGTACCAGCCAAGTCACAAGAAGCCTTGTCGAAGCTTGTTTGAGAAGCCTGGTCTAGCTAGGTAGCTGGGTAGTCTATCCCACCTGTCATGTAGCTTCCTGTATTAGCATCAGATACCGTAAAGTAAAGACAAAGAATGTCTGCACGCTGAATAAAGGGTTCGCACAGAGTCACTACGATTGAGAATCGAATCTATCCCCATACACCCAGAAATCATGACCATCAACTCATCTCATAAGCTTACGTAGTGTTGCCAAGTCGCCAGCTTATTTCATCGCCAGTTACCTTCGGACTGGGGACGGAAGTTGACTTTTCGATGTGAATTGCTATCTCAAGATCCATATGCGGATAGAGCGAAGGTACCATGCAACTTAGAGATACATCACCATCATTTCATCAAATACACCGAAGACCCGCTTTATGTAGTTTGAGCCTTATGTCGTTTGAGCTATCGAGTATGAGAACTACCTCAAGAAGATAGAAGAAGCAATTCAACGGATTACGGTAGAACTGCTCGAGGATCTCCATGATGATCCCCACAGACGTACAGACAACAAGAACCTGTTCTCCATCGATTGCGAGCTTCAAGGCTGTTACGTGGATGATGCATTGACAAAGGAAGTGTAGGTCGCGAACAGCAAAGGATTTCGAGCCAAGAACACTTTTGTAGGCTGCAGGATAGATAGCCACTCTAACGGGATACTCATGAATCTAACAACTCATCTACGGTGCGCGTTGAGTGTTCGCAATAATCTTGAGTTTGTCAAATTCGTAGGCTGGAAAAGCGTAGTAAAGAGTCAAGTACGACAACCCGAGTTCTCAAAACCAAGGCAATGCCAATGATTATGTGAGATTAATACGATCTTGCCCAGAGACCATGGATACTAGGAGAATGGCTATGACGCCACATTTCTGATCGCAATTCGTTAAAAATAGATTGAATCCTTCAGGATCACGGCTAACCCTACGCAATGTTCCTCGGCAGAAACCTTTCCTTTTTGTATCCCACAACAAAACGGCTTACAACTTCGAAGGGGAGGGTCATACCTTAGCTGGCCAGTGAAATGAGCAACAAAGATAACTGCTCATACAAACTAGAACACCGCACAACAACAAGGATACGGATGCGCAATTCGTCCGAATATTAGGCAGGACGCAAACCCACCGATATTCTCTAGTATATCAGCGCGGCGAGCGAATGCGCGACAGCTTATATGAGGTTTGCAACAGATGACCTATAAGAAGGTCGTGATACGCGCAGAGATGGGTCACGAAGAACTGGTTACTACGTGGGAGACTTACAAACGAAGCTGCGCAGGTAGCAAACCAACACGGTCAAGATGATTGGATGAACTGCCGAAGGCGAGGGTTGTAGTTACGAGAGGGTCGAGGAACTGCGAAATATAGTGTGCATAGGTACCAGGGTAGCCATGAGCAGACGCTGCACCTGTTGTGGCGATATTGGGCAGAAGTCCCACACTTTCAAGGAAGAAAATGAGGGCGCAGGTAGTAGTGTAACTTTTGGAAAGCGGTCCTTCATTACAAGAGTTCAAGTGCGCGGTTCAGTCTTGCGCGCGTTGTTGAGTGCGTGCGCGCCCTGCTGGTGTTGCGAGGCCATTCGGTTGGCCGCCTGTACCGCTCGGTAAGCTGCACTGCCCAGTTGGATGCCTTACTCGGGTGGCTGCATGTAGAGGTTTCGTATAGGTTCTGCCGCTTTGATTGGAAGTCTTGCTCGGTTGGATGGTAATGTTATATAGACTTCCCCTTGTTCCCACTTTTTGTGCTATGTCCTGTTCTGCTCCTGATCTTCGCTTCTTCTTGTTGTCAACCTTGGAAAGTGGCACACCCGAACAGAACAGAGGCTCCATCGCAGAAGTCCGATTAGCCTTCTAAGGCGCGTGGTGCTAGGGGGTCGCACGTCAATTCATCGGCTCCAGCCTAGCGCTTGATCCTAGTCGCATCCTGCGAACGGTCGCAAACGACGCTACTCTAGCTTCTGAGTCGACAACATGAAGCTTCGATACGCCCTGGGGGTAATCTATGCCTCGACTTTGTCGCTTTCGGGCGTATGCGCCATTGAGCTGGACGTCGATTCACCAGGTAGGTATCTTGACTAACGATGGCTCCTCCGGATAGCGCTGATATCCATAGACTCGATCAAGAACGCGGCGAAAGTACTGTCGACGAATCTAAGGAGATATTACACTGGTGACAGGCTAGGCGACGTCCCTGGTAATCTTCCAGATCCGTATTATTGGTGGGAATGCGGTGCTATGTTCAACGCGTTCATCGATTATTGGTATTATACTGGAGACGACCAATACAATGTTATTACAGAGCAAGCGCTGCAGCATCAGATTGGGGACTACAACGCTTTTATGCCGCCAAATCAGACCAGAACCCTTGGAAACGATGATCAAGCATTTTGGGGTATGGCCGCCATGTCAGCCGCTGAGAATAAATTACCTGACGTCAAAGACGGACCTTCGTGGCTCTCTCTCGCTCAAGCCGTGTTCCAGACCCAGCATAATCGATGGAATACAGAGAAATGTGGTGGCGGGTTAAAGTGGCAGATCTTTTTCACGAATCCTGGATACACCTATAAGAACACGATCTCTAATGGATGCTTCTTCAATATCGCTGCACGTCTATATAAGTATCTTGGGAACGATACGTACTCTGATTGGGCCGAAAAGACTTGGGAGTGGGAGCAGTCTATCGGACTCATAAGCTCAGATTTCCATTTCTTCGATGGCACCGGCGACTCTGAGAACTGCACTTCTATCAAGAAAATTCAATGGACCTACAATGCCGGCGTGCACATCTCTGGTGCTGCTGCGATGTGGAATGTTGTACGTATACGACAGCCTTGGCTTACTGAAGAGGCGCACGTCTGCTAACATGAATCAGACTCAAAATCAGCTATGGAAAGATAGGGTTCAAGGCATCCTCAATGGACTTGACGTCTTCTTCAAGGATGGTGTCATGACCGAAGTCGCATGTGAGAACAATGGCATGTGCAACGTCGACCAGCGCTCCTTTAAAGCATATCTCGCCCGCTGGTTAGGATACACGGCTATCGTCGCGCCATGGACACGCGAGCAGGTCAGTTGCGACTATACTTAATGCACGTAAAACATACGCTGACGTCGTATCTTCGCATCCACAGATCGACCCCTTGCTTAAAGCCTCAGCAAAGGCGGCTGCAGCACAGTGTAATGCTGGTGCAGACCAGGCGTCGTGCGGTCTCCGATGGACGAAGAATGGCATAAATGACGGCAGCTTTGGTGTCGGTGAACAGATGGCTGCGTTGGAAATAGTCCAGGCACTGCTTTATCCCACTGTGGATGGTCCGGCTACTACTGAAAGAGGTGGTATTTCACAGAGCAATCCAAACGCTGGAATCGAGGCGCCGAACGACGATGGTTCTACTCATTTCGATTCTATCAGTACTAGAGATCGGGTTGGCGCAAGTGTCTTGACTGTTCTTGTGGTGGGTGGTTCGCTTGTCGGTGCTTGGTGGATGGTTTCGTAGTTAGTATATATGCTCAGTGACGGCTCGCTCTACTACGATGTACAAATAGCGAACGTGGTATGAATCAAATCGCGAGGGGAGCTAGCAATAGCGACGCTATCGACTTGCTAAAAGAATTGTTGAACTGCTTCACGCTGTGAAGTGCACCATAGCCAACCCACGATGCTGTATAGGCATGTGAGTGCCTTCGCCGTCACAGCCTATTCTCTCGCATCGTAAATGCACGACTACGGGCGAACCATAGCCAACATAATTGGGAGCTGACTAGCAAGTGTGTAGCCTTCTCGAGTAATGTGTGGATCAGATTGTGGAACGAAGTAGCCTGTAGGTTCCCTATGGGCGGCATAGGGATTGGTGACTGCGAGAGATAGTGCACGAGTTCATACGGATTTTGAGAACTATAGAAAAATCGAAAGAGTTACGCAAGGGTTCTGTAATACAGTTTCGGCACCTTGAAAGTCAAAAAGCAATATGCGTCCTTCCCTCCTCACGTCAGCGCTAATTTCCAGTACCAAGTGAAGTGAAGGTAGGCAGCTCATCAGAATATTTCCTCTAACCAAAAGTCATCCCAGGAGCAGACAAGGAAACAGGGTCAGTCAAAGGCTCGTACTCTCTCCGCCTTGTCTGAAACGTATGTAAAGGTTCATGAATGCCTCTTGTCCACCTTACAGGAGCTTCACCATCTTCTGTGTCTGTAGTTCCACGTTCCAATCCGTCGCGTCGACATCCCTGCCGTCGCAATTTGCTTTGTGTGCGATGCACGATCTCTTCGTCCATGGCGGTGGTATCCAAGAGCGCTATTGCGCGTGCTTGTCGAGCTTGGAGAAGCATGCGATCAGTCATGCGGACGAAGTCGCGGCGCTCGTCAAGGTAAGGCCGTAGCAGTTCGTCGACTCGATATGAAATCGTGGATTCATTGAGCTTATCATAGATGTCACCGTATCGAACCGGCCAGAGAGCACTTCTCTGCTCCGCCGCATTTCGTAGGTCATTCTGTTCCCATTCTCTTTGCATAAGATATGATGTCATGTCTGCAGCGATGGCGAAGGCCCTGCGCCTATACGGGAGTTGCGCAAGAAACGGGTGGTTCCAGAGCGGATGATGAGGAGGCGCTGCATCTGGACAGGCAGATGTCATAGCGAGATACATGGCCCTGGCGTTCGGATGGAGGTCGGTGAAAATTGGGTCGTTCCATGTCTCACGTTGTTCTGGCGTTGCGTCTGGTGTGGTAAATCGTGTGGTGAAATGACTAGCCCTGTCATCGATCGAGAGGCCTGCTAGGCTCAGTGAGTTCCATGCCGGCTGCGGACTTTGTGTGATGTATTGTATCATAGTGAGGGGGACTTCAGAATGACTTGCGAGATTCGTGCTCGGTTGTATTGTGGAAGGCTGAGTGCTACGTTCGTCGTCTCGGGGTACGTGTTGATCTGCCGATTCGGCCGTCGTCGTCGTGCTGGGTCTAGCGACCGTAGGACCGCTCGACACTGATTGAGGTTCCGCATGAGATGGTAGAAGAAGATCGGCCGAGGATGAACCCGTTGCTCTATTCCTGTAGTGGGAGTGTTGACCGCTCGTATCGATAGCGTGTGGATTACTTGCAGGTGCACCATTCGAATGCTCTTGCGATTCCGCCCGACAAACTTCATATCCTTCTGGGGCTCGTCCTTGTGCTGACTCGGGAAGAATCGTGTTAAATTGGCCGGAGTGAGTTTGCTCCTGTTCAGTCGTACAACAACCATCGGGTGTAGGTGAGGCCGCATTTGGGGATTGCGTCAGCTGCGCGCTCTGATCAGTCACTGGAGGACCTTCTGGATCTTGTTGTGACTGCATCCTGGACCAAGAAACTTCCAATATCTCAGTGTTGTCTTTGAGTGAATGTTGCGGGCGGTAAAGAGAGCTCGTAGTGCCCTCCTCTGTACGCCGTCGTGAGACGCTGTTGCCTGTATGGCTCAAGCTGGAATTGCGACGGCAGGTAAGCGAAAGACGGAAATGATGTGATATCGACAGAGGTGAGAGTTAATAATTTTCTTCCTAGGGTAGCGATGTAAGCGTTGAGCGGTGCAGTGTTGGGCGTTGCACCTCGGGGATGTTGTGTTGATGGCGCGGAAAGAGGTGCAGGTGGTTGTGAGGACCTGCCACATGTCGAGGTAGGCGCCGTCGCATCGCGCATCACATTCTCACAACGGCAAGGGAGGTTCACTTTACGCAGTAGAATCCTGTTCCATCTGCTTTTGACCAGGTAAAGATGGAAATTGGCAACGGCACAGATGCACAGACTCAAAGATCAAACATCGATATCTATAAAATTGTAATCAAACTAGTAAGGAAGAATTTGAACAAGATGTCCGGATACTCAGGACAGCTGTGGGATCTACAAAGTTCAAGCGGCAAGAGCACCGAGCATAGATATTGCCATAGCGATTGAGTTGATCCACGACACGGAAGTAAAGGTCCCTGCACCAGTCGCAGTAGCATTGTTGACGGCTGATACAACGTCGATGGGAGCAGGGAATGAAGAGTTCGCGCTGCCTGCAGGGCAGGTGAGGTTCCAGCGAGGAGTGGTGCTTAGATCGTCGGTGACGGCGAACTTGACTTCGTTCGCTGGATTGGCATCGCGAAGGGTGTACCAAAAGACGTTTTCTCTACCAAAGAGTCGGCAACCGATTTCTCGCCAATATGTAGCAGCATTGTCGACAGTAGACTACAGAAAGGTTACCAAGTTAGTACACGTCTCCCATATGTCTTATGTAGGCGCAACTCACCTCAGCTTTAGCCCACGCTGGGCCACTGTATGGCCAACCAGTTTCTGTGATCCAAACGTCTTTGTCGCCAACAGCACGCTCTGTGGCAGTCAAGGCGCCATTGAAAATAGCAGCTGCATTCTCAATGCTGTTGTCGACAGGGTCCACATAGAAAGGAAAGATGTTGACGGAAACGAAATCGACCTCATCAACAACCGCGGCGTTGGAGCTGTTCACCCAGGCGTCCCAGGCGTCGACGTGAGTGTAAGGCTTGTCTGCGAGCGCCGTGTTGTTCAGACGCGCGCGAGCCTCCCTGATGAAGCGCACGATGGTATCCGGTCCGTTTCCGATTCCGGCGTCATTCCTCTCACCAGATTTTGAGGCTCGATAGAGGTCCTCGCTACCCACAGAGATACCCACGACCAGATCCGCCAGATCTGAGCCATGCTCTTCAAGAGCTGCTTCAAGTGCATTGAGTTCATTATCAATCCTGTCGGTCCCCGAAGCCCAGATACCTAGAAGAAGGCTTGTGTTCGTCGCAACTGCAGCCGATAATGCAGTGATTGGTGTATCCTGGGTTTCCCATTGGACATTGGAATACAAGCGGATGGTGTTAATTCCATCAGGTGCACCTTCCAGATTCTGCGCAGTTCTGAACTCACGCTCGAAGTCTTCCTGTGTCTTAGGATTACCCTGGTCGTCGGAGGCGCCAGAGTTGAACCCCACAATGGGATTTTGAGCAGCTACACAGCCCAATGATGCTGCGATGCTGAGTGCTGATGAGATACGCATTTTTGCAAAGAGTGAAATATAGTTGGTGACAGGCGGGAAAGTAGAAGACCAGAACGTGTAGCAGAGTCAATATTGTGCTACGACAGCTGTTTAATGAGGAACAGTACAGATTACTTATTGCCATGTTTGTCTACGATGGGCGCCAAGTATTGCATGAGATATGGACCGCATCTCGGAGGTATTCGCGGATATTTGTGGTAGTTGTTGGTGATTCAATTGGACCCGTGCGACCTGGTCTGTCTAGGCAAGGCTCCGTGCCAACCCACTAGGAAACTTTAACGTTCGCGTACTACCGCACTGGAATTCGCGTCACTACGACTTGTAGCAGGATGTGGGGAGTGTGTGAATGTGGGGAGGCAGTGGGGTTTAGTCCGGTGCTGCGGAGATGAACCCTTGAGAAGCGATCCAGATCTCGTATTCATGCACAGAATGATGTCTCAGATGCTGGAAGCACGTGACCTCGACTGACATGAGCAGAACAAATTCTCTCATCTTAGAACTGGTCCTATCCTGAAACTCGCAGAGCTGAGTTGGGCATCGTGATAGTTCCGTTGAGCAAATCTTGTGATTACTCATCCAGGCACTTGCGGCAGCACTATCGGGCCGGTCATCTTTGATTCCGACTCCGCATATCGTCTCAGCAGTTGTTATAGCATGTTATGTTGCTCGGAATCAAATGCGACCGTAGGGGGTGGCCATGCTCGTCTTGGCAACAGCGTTGGAGAGTTCCGTCCCGCGCCTCTACTTGATATCAGTCCTATCGTTCTCTAATCTCTTGATTGGCACGCCTTGGCTGGGCGTAACGGCTGCCTCTACCTTTCTATGTGCTGCGACACCGACGGCGAATGTGGCAATCTGAGCTCATCAAGACATGGGAAAGAATGACTCGAGTGCTCTGCTCAAGGTTTGGACCTCACCAATCGTACACCTGTCGCACAAATTGACTGATCACCATGGCATCATCGTGATAATACTGAATCAATTGAGACAGAGCTACGTTTCTGATATTGACACATTAGTCACCGGTAACAGAGGATCTTGGCCGTGTTGACGGCGAGCAATCCGATCGCGTGCCGTATCGTGCATGCGGATATTGCTTCCGTATGCCTTGTGATCGCCGCACTAGGTATGGTAGTCACGCACTCATTGATGCTGGTCCGTGAGAAATGATATCTTCTCTAAAGAATGTTGATGAAATAGATGTAACAATAACTGTTCGATTTCATACCTTGGGCATGGGTTGCTTCAAGAGTGAAGTGATGCAGATTTGGGACATCAGTATGGCTCCAACTTGCTATGAGACGCGCAACGGTCTGGAGCGGAAAGCTCGCATCCATCAAGCTACCCGGGTATCGCAATGCAACCGTAAAGGATTTCGACGGACAGGTATGACCCATGACGCTTGTCTATGGTTTCGCAGCATGCATTGAGTTCGTGGTTTGGTGTTCTAGTCAGGAACGCCAACGGGAACCATAAGCGTCGCCCGAAGCCGCCCCACCATCCTTACGTCATCGATTTTTGCTCAGACGCACGCGTGTGCTCATGCATCCAACGTGCCCTTCTTCGCCTTGACTCTGCGCAATAATGTCTTCCATCCCATATAGCCATGTCCGCCCTTCTCCACTCCGTCTACCAATCTTGCTTTTGCTTCTGCGTACCATACCCGCCAGACTGATCAATGGCACACCATGTTAGCGTATCCGCGAGAAAGACCTGCATCAGTATTGCACTTACTGGTCAAGACCACTGCGGTCAAAGGGATCGCAATAACCCACATCAACCAGAAGTCGCGCGACACCGTAAGGCGATACGGTCGTTCATCCTGAAGTTTCATGAACTGGCTACCGAAGATCGAAGCGACCGTGCCTAGCGGCATGAACACAAGCGTCATCACCGCAATAGTCTTCATACTTTGATTCTCCGACTGCATCAACTTGCTGTCACCCTGCGTGACGATGTTGAACGACATCTCGATGATGTTCGAAAGCCTCGCATTCAGACTTGCAAGCCGTCGCTGCGTCGACTCGAACAGGGTCTTTCTGTATTTGAGTGCCTGCCGAGTATGCCTTTGCGGCATCTCTGGACTTTCGCCTGTCACTACCTTGTGATGGCTATAAAGATCGTTCAGGGTAGCCAAGGCTGCTTCGCAATTCTCACGCAGATACAATGTATGTTTCGTGAGGGTGTGCAGTTCCGTGAAGAAGTGTTTCGGCAATTCCTCAGCTGCTTTCCCCGGTTTGCTCGCGATTCCCGAGATTTGCTAACAGAACATTAGCATGAATGGTAATACATAGTAGACTGGAGAGGTTCGATATACCGTTTCCAAGGGCCCAAACGTGTCAGCTATGGCCCAGGCAGTCCAGTCCAGGATCTTATACATCTCCTCAAACATAATCTCTAGCAATACATACGGATCGTTGAGTAATTCATCGCACGTGGTTGACGCTATAAGTGCTCGGATTCTATCATGCAGTGTGCTAGGAGCACCAAAACATACCAGCTCTACCCTGGCTTTGCTCGGTATAGCGGCCAAGGTATTATCACTATCTGATGTCGACGTTCGTACTGGCTTTGGCAATGTCGTTGATGGCTTTCTGATTCTCAGCACAATACCTGGCTTCAACCAGGTGAAGTGTGTTCGACTCGGAGGCTCTACCGTCTGCCGACCTTCAGCTACTTCGGCGGGCGCGGTCGTGTTCTCGGGTATAGCAAGCGTATTGCACAAAAGGTGAAACCATATGCACATCGAGCCATCCAGATCTTCTCGCGCTGCAAACGACTGCGAAACAGCTCGTAAGCTCTCATCGACGAATGCGCTTGGAATACTGCATGTATCGAAAAGCTCAACCAGCGCTTCAGTTGTCCCTGGTGCAGGCGTATCCCGGGGTGCAAAGCTAACATTGTCAGCAACTACGTTATGGCTAACGGACATTCTCACATCACACGGACAGCTCCCTCGCTTTTCGACTCGAGCTCTTGCACAGACTTCAGATTACACTGATCAACACCTTGGGCGGCATTTTCGCGCCATTCGAACAGGTCCAGTGTTATGCCAGTACTTGTCGCACCCCGCTGGGTCGCCGCGAATAATGAAGCTCTTCTTTCAAATTCATCCAAAGGCTTGCGATCGGCAGTCAAACTTCTGAAAGAGCTCATGTTTCGGCGTGGTCCTGTTGAAGATGGTTTGCTGGATCAAACGTGCGAACAGTCGGTCTGTGAGGATGGCTGGGAAGATGTCGCACGCTCGCATTACAGCGATACTGTACCGATAGCGACAGCTCGCACACTCGAAAGCCATCGCTCACCTCATGCACTATCCAAGGCCACTGCTGCCCCGTCTTCCCTAGTCACCAAAAAGGTCGAGTCCAGCGCCACAAGTTTCGACCATAGCCGTGTACCATGTCAGGCGGAATTCGGGCTCCAAAATTCGGGCCATGAGACCACAGGCCAGCGGTTCAGTGCTTGGCATTTTCCAGCTCTGGCCAAAAGTGGACATGCAATTTCGAGAGCTGAGAGAAAAAGTCCGAGCGGACCTATCGGGATGAGCCGTCAGCGTTACGCTTAATTGGTGGCGCAAGGCTGAAAACGCCAAGGTGGCAGCTGGTAAACATCGAACCCCTCCAAGTGGTACTGTACACGAGGTCGCGACCTGTCGCATCCGTTCAGCACCAGAACAGCATTTACTCCACTACGCCGGCTGTATCCGCGCATGAATTCTGTGGCTTATCGATATCACCTTTCGAATACGAGTTACGTAGTGGTGTGGACGCGGCTTTATGTTGATACAGCTAAACTCCTAAGAGAGCTGTCCATACCAGCTTGCATCAATGCCGAAGGCAAAAGGCGCACAGTTGTAGCGCTCGCTGTTCGCTTCATACTGTCACATGGAGAACCATTCCCTGCATGGCGCAGGCATGAAAGTCTCGCCGAACAATCTTAACTGACTAGGGTAGCCGAAGATGTAGAACTACTGGAGGCGCACACTGCAGCAACGCTGCCAAGGTCAACACGTTGCAGATCACATGCCAAAATAGCCCCCAAAGTTTCCCTTCGCCGCATAGTACTGGATGTTACATTGTCGTGGTCTCGACCCTCTCGATTCGTACCTTGTCCTACAGAGCCTGTCTCTAACGCCACAATGCCTCGATGGGGAGAGTGGAGTGATCAGGCAATACGAAGCGACCAATGGAAACATCCTCTGCGCGGGCTGAAGTCGAGAGTACACCCAAAAGCAATTGTTGTAGATATCTGCGCATTCGAACGGACGCTACACCCTCGTACTAATCGAGCATTAGTCCAAACAGCAAGCTAAATATGAGAGTACCATACACTATCGTCCGCCGAAGTTGAATTCAAACTTAGTCTCAGATTCACTGCGGCTGTATCTGATAGAGAATCGAATGGTATAAAGACTCTACGACCTCTGGAACCTTTATTGGCTTTACTAACACCCATCAGGCTTACCCCTCCAATCTCTCTGGCAAACACGGCGGCGGCTTCGATCCCAACAGTAACACTTCTATACAAGTACCCTCGTCGCAACAATTCTATCCAGTTAGTTCGCCATCAACCTTCTACATTACTCTCTCGATCTGACAATTCTTATCAGACCCAGTTACATCACTGTGGTGGAGGTGCTTACGATCCAAACAATCCCACAAAGCCTGTCGTTGTAGTGCAGCATCAACCAGTATCACAACTAAAGCCGACATTCTCACCCCAAGTACGTATCCTTCTTCCTGTTCTTAGTCATTACCCTGATAGCAGTAAAGACACAAGCCACAAACTACTACCAGCCTTATCAACAGTATCATCAACCTTCGCCGCAAGCCGCAAGCAACCAGCCAGGGTTCATCACTCAGCTGTGTGCTTGTTTCAAGTAAATAGGTCGACATTACCATCACCATGGTCGCGAATGACGCTCAAGCATCAGTTCGCGAGATCGCGCCATATGAACATGCTGCTCCGTACCAAGGTGACAACGGAGCAAATGAAAAACAACCAGGTTTCTCGTCCGTAGTGGTTAGTTGACCGATCCTCTTCCATCATTCATCGGCTGAAATGACGCAGCGCAACGGCCCGATAGAGCTGAAAGGATATTCGTACATCTTCTCACCCATTACTACGGTGAAATGGGGATTTCCGAACTTCTATCGCAAGCCAGGACTTGGGTATCAGAAGCTTGGTCAACACCGTCACCGCGACTGCTTTGATCGCGAATGGACGGGCGACTATGATGATCGATACATCTCATCCTGGGATGGCCAGGTTTCTAAGCTCGTTGTACAAGCGGTCGACGATATCTTCGAAAACAACACGGGATCTACGTATCGGAGAACATTCATTCGCAATATTGCGCCAGTTTATATGCGACTGGCTAACTGGCCCTTCAAACACATTGAATTTGCGCGGCTCAATGGGAAGATTTCTAGTGAAGATTACCCTATGCTTTGCCTCAAATGGTTCATCGCATCGTGTATCATCACGATATTTGCAAGTTGACTCTCTTCTTGGCTATGAGACAAGACTAATGGTAGTTCAGATCTCTAGTCCAAGCCCTGCTGAGATACCTTCACGAAATGGGGGCAACTACGATCCCGTGCCGTATCAGTACTTTGGGTACCCAAAAGTTGCCAAAAACGCGATCGAAATGCATAAACCCAAAGGTCTCGCGTCGAGTGAGGCCAACCCTATCTCTGAGCGTGTCTTACGTCCCAGATATCTCTGCTTTTTGCGCGAGCAAGGTAAGCCGGCGATGATCATCAAGGTCGAAGATTGGTAAGTCGACAAGGCACATGCCACCAGTAAACCTCTGACATCTCCAGGCTGGCACAACAAAACGGTCACAGTCTATCATATGTCTTTATCGCATACACCGCCGAGCAGTTCAACACGCCCGATGATTTTAGGGTCTTACATGAGATTGCCGACGCCGCGGCGCGCAACGCGGGTGTCATTGCATACTGGGTCGGATGTTCTTGTATGCCTGACAACCAACTCGAGGAGGACGTGTACCGTATATGCGATGTCATTCGAGGCGCGCAGTCCCTCGTGATCGCAATCGCAGCTCCGGCAAACAACAGGTACGAGATCAACACACCTGATCTTATGCTCCAACAATGGGGTAGCCGGGTGTGGACTTTTCCGGAAGTTCTCCTAGCTCCTGCTGGTGAGATGATCAAAGTCTACGTGCGTGACAGCGATCTATCGCAGCCACTTCTGGTCGCAAAGAACCAGTTCGCTGCTCAAGTCTGGCACGACGACGCTCATGTCGCCCGACAGCTTATCGACCACTACGAAGGAAATCTGATCTTGAGCCAGCTTGAGCTCGTCACGCTTGCTCTCGAGTGCCTGCACAAACGCCAGACTGGAGAGTATCTTCCTGGCGATCATAGCTACGCTTTGATGGGCTTGCTTCGTGTCAGGCCACAGATCGATCGTACGGACTCTGCGTTTCAAGCATTCGCGCGGTATGTAAAACAGCAAGTGCATTCGCATATCCTATCACTGATACCCCATAGTCTCTCCCTCGCGAACGGTAGCGATCAGCTACTGGAGCGTCTAATATGCATGCTGCCGAAGACGCCGGACCAACCGTGGCATTCGATGGACGATGCCTACAATGCCAAGCTCTGGGACATATTGCCTCAAGATGTCGGTATTGCTGGTGTTGGTGAAGACGATAGCATCATCCTTGACGGTTGCCGTGCCGCAAATGTACGGTGGAAGTCGTTCACACCAGTCGCTCACACTCGGCGCGACTCGTGGAAACGTATGATCGCGAAGTTAATGCTGCGTCTCAGCGGTGTCGTGTTCATCGTTGCTATTGCACTCCTCTCTATCCCTTTCGCTACCTCGATATTGCGCGCCATCGGCGCCTTTTTGCTCATCTATTCACTACTAATGATGGGCTTATCGCCATGGTTGCTTCGCTTGCTCTATCTTGGCAAGTTTTGGGAGCAACAATGCTGGTTTTTTGGCTTTGAGGGCTACATGGACCTGGAAACAATTGAGACCCAGATCTTTGGTGGTAGACTAGGGCGCATGAAATGGACGGTATGTTCGCTCTCATTCCATCCATAACGTTGTACTGATTCTGTTCTCGCACCTGTAGGCAGCGGCAAGTCCACTTTCCAGGCACGAGCGCAATGTTCATGGCGAATGTGTTCCTATCGATCCAACAACCGATCCTGCCGTTGCAGCTCTTGTACAACGAGCGAAATCAGCTGGGCCTGGAGAGCAGCGCGTCTTCACGCTCGTAGATACCGGTGAGTGCTAGTGGTAACATGAGCAGCGCGAAGAGAATACTAATTTGTCATAGGCAACATGACTGCGACTCTCTTCCTTGCCGAACGCCCACCCGTGTGTTTCCTCATGGCCGGCTCTGAGGGCGGTATGAAGCGCATCATTGGTTGCTCCTACGACTGGACTACAGCAACGATGTACCGAGAAACCGTGCTGCGAATAGGTACACAGTTCGAGGACAAGATGTCGCGTGTTGGACGTGTCAAGATTGGCTTCAAGCGCAAGCAGCATCCCTTCGGCCCGTTGTCCCAGGTTGGTGAGGCAGAAGGTAAGCAGTTGTAGTGAATATCGCCCCGGAACGCGTTATGGTGTTATGTTGTGCTATCGCGTGAAGTTTTGATTGCGCATTAGTTTCAGCTGCGTTTTGTGGATGACGAATGGGAATTGTTGGAAGCCTGGCCCCTGTGTCCCACCATAGCGTTTGTGGGGATTTCCACTAGTTCAGATAGGGTGAGCCCGGTCATCTTAGTTTGGATCCGTGACGACAAAGGGCCGACTGTAGCGTGAGGACAATCTATGTTGATAATCACATAATCAATGCATTCGACACACCGCAATTCGTCCTAAAAACATCCACAGAAGAGATAACCGCGCCATTCCATAGCACAAAACTTGTGCCTTTAAGCGACTGAACATGTATCATTTTGTTGCCCCACTCTTCTTGGTCTCTTCGGGGAACCAAGCGAACAGGGCCGACCACCAGCTCAATGACATCGAAGCCGTGGCCACTAAGCAGCGCAGAAAAGTTCAGAATCGGAAGAACCAACGATTGCATCGTGAGTTTGGTCTTAAGCACCCTGCGCTTTGCTGAGCTGATTTCGATAAAGGGCTACGAAAGAAGAAGCCAAACGCGGCTTCTGCTCAAGCCTCGCGCCCATTCCAAGTTGACCGCTGGCGTCTGGACGAACTGGACGACTTGCTCATCGATGCTGAGGAGTCCGCTACCAAGGAGCTCACTACCAAGGTTGCGAATGTTGTCAACTCGACTGCTACTCCCAGAGGGACTGTCGTATTCCGGAACTCACTCTTATGCGTTTCGACCTTAGTTCCAACCACGCTCAATCCCCCGCCCATGATCTTCCCTCTTTCCACCGACCACCTTCTCCACCTAGTCCAATACAATGTTTTTCGAGCTTTCGTCTCCAACAAGCGTACCCTGAATGCGCTTCTCAAAGGTTGGTCATACGACAAGCCTTATACAGAATGTCCTGTTTGTCCTATCAGTTTACCCTACACCGACGACACCAACATATATCCTTTGAACCCTAACATACCTCCGTCGCTATTTCCCACTCGCTTGCAGCAAGAGCGCACGCACTCGTCCTGGATCAATCTCTTTCCATTCCCTTCGCTACGAGACAATTTCATTAGGCACGAGGAACGACTCGATCACTGGGATCTGTTGGATGATCTTGTTGGGGAGCTTATGAGGAATATACCGACCAAGGAGCGACGAGGTACGCCAGCTGCTATCACTTTGTCTGATCCAAAGACTGCGCCTGAACAGCCGGTCGCAGCGGTAGGCAACGATGACGATGGGGTCACAGCGGGCCGCAGAGGACTTATAGTCTGGGGAGAGCCTCATGTTAAACAGAACTGGGAGGCTACGCCTGAGTTTCTGAAGAAGTGGTCGTGGGCAGTGCAAGGATGCGACGATCTGCTTGCCTCGAGTAACCGTTGGAGGTTGGCGAGAGGGGAAGAGCCTCTAAGTCTTCCGGCAATAGAAGACTTGTCTTTGGATTAGAAACGTCATGACGCGGTATAAGTAACATGACCACCAGAATGCGATACTTGTTGTTGCAAAGCCACGATAAGAGAGAAAGTAGAACATCGGAAGATTGGTCGCTAGTGTAAAGAAAGGTCTTGTGCCTATGTTATGAAGAACCAGAAGGTACAATCAGATTCAGTGTTTCTGCGGAGATACTACTCGTCATCAGGCAATCCTACAATCTTGAGCGAGTCTTTCCATAACCTTTGTGCCTTCTCTACATCATAAGCCCATGGGGCGTAGCCCAGTGCAGTGTACTTGTCATCGCCTTCCTTGTATGGTTCCGGTTCTGCGCAGTCAACCAAGTATTTGCCACCCCTGTTCTTCCAAGTCTCAGCAACGGCGGCCCACACCGTTGTCGCAGCACCCTGCTCGACGCTTTTGATTGTAGGGTATACGTGATCCTGACCATCGAAAGCATCCGGAGGCAGATGCTGCATGAGTGCGGTCATGATAACGCCGGGATGGACGCTCGTGGCGTGAAGGTGGCGCGCGCCATGTCGACGCTCAATCTCATTAGCCAAGTAAATATTCGCCGTCTTGGACTGGCCGTAGGCCATGGTAGGGTGATAGTCGCCCTTCTGAAAGTTGTAGTTGTCGGAATCATTGATGCCGCAGATGTTGTGCGCTGAAGATGCGAGGCTGACGACGCGGGATGGGAGGCTAGGCGAGGCGGCTGCTAGAAGGGCAGGTTCTAGAAGCTTGTAGAATAGGAAATGTGATAGATGGTTTGTGCCGAACTGAAGTTCGTGCCCATCAGCTGTGAAACGGAGATCTGGTATAGCCATGATTCCGGCATTGTTGACAAGGAGATGGATCTTTGAAGTCTTGCTAAGGATAGTCTCAGCGGCGGCCCGGACAGACGGGAGTTTCTCCTGGTCCATCTCGACGATGGTCATGCGTGAAGATTCTAAGATACCCTCGAGGGCGGATTGAGCCTTCGCTGTGTTTCGGGCGGTAAGAAAGAGGGTCGCACCAGTGGCTGCTAGAGCACGAGTAGTTTCGATACCTATGCCAGACGATGTACCAGTAATGACAATGACCTCCCCCTTAAGTGTGTTCTCAGCCTTTTCGTCCTTGATGATTTGCATAGCTGTTGGACGCGCATCGCCTGGGCCTTTTGGCGAAACATGGGCCTGAGCGTAAGGAGACATTTTTCAATGAGAATGAACTTGGATATAAAAGGTGAATGTGGTTCGGTTGTGATGAATAGGTGAGATGTTCAGTGATTGTGAAGTGTATCGATGGAAAGATGCTTCACAGGCTGGCAGGCTGACCACATATATAGTGAAGGCACTGCACATAGTCACACATCGCCGGGTCGCCGCGGACTCGGCACTTACAAACCATCGCTCTCATAGGGGCAGAACAGGACGAATGCTTACACCGCTGCTCCGTATGGGCGTGTCTGCCATGTCAGGTATTAAGTGCTAAATGCTCGATATATCACTTGAAATGAGGCTCGGTACCTGGACACATGGGAATACTCGGACATCTAGCTGCGAGCTAGGCTGGAGGAAGCGACAATGTCATCCGGTGGGGCCAAGCTAAACCGCAAGTATGGCCGGGGAGACCCCGAAGTCAACACGGACTAGGTTCGAATTGGAGAAAATGTCATCTGCGCTAATTGTAGATCGCGTAACGAATTTCGCCAAGAACTCAAAAGTCTTCGACGGATGCTGCTTTACATAACGTTATGTAAACATGTTATGTTGGTAAAGCACCATGCCAAAATAGGGGTTAGGTGTAGAAAACACCATGTAGTACCGTAGAGCAGAGTTGTCAGAGAAGTAGATACTGTAACTCTGCAGGAGCTATAACCTGGCATCAATCGCAACTCAATGTGCAATCACTGCATCAACTTTCTGGCTAACAGCATCCTGAACAAAACCTTCGATATCCAACACACGGCCACATACGACCTCGACATGGCTCTAGTTCCACCCACGACGAATCTCAGAGAGAAGATGGAGATCACAGCCCGAGCCTTCTTGTCGGCATTCGAAGAGGGCGCAGCTCATAGCGACGCGTCAGTCATCAATCGCGATCTTACATCCGACTGCACACGTCATTTCCTCCCAGCAACTGTTATGAAGGCTTTCGGACTTGCGGCAGACGCTTCCTTCGACACCACCGCTTTTGAAAGCATGTTCGGGAACGATATCAGAGTGCTGCACTTCAAGGATAACGTCATGTCCAACTTGGCCATTGACGTGGAGGCGCGCCGCGCCGCTTTCACAGCTAAAGCCGATGTGTTTGTCAGGAGCAGTGGGAAGACGTATTCCTCTGAGGCTGCTTGGTTTTTGTACTTCAACGAGGATGGGTCCAAGGTCAAGAAGGTGGTTGAGTTCTGCGACAAGGATGCTCTGTTGGAGATGGCAGGCGATGTGGCCGCTGCATCGGGAGTGTAAAGATGAGTCGGATATAAGCTAGGGAGCTAGGAAAGACAAGAACTTAGCTAGAATCAGTGATCTATTGCTCCAGCAATGTACTTTCATGAACTTACATGACGTTGTGATCGTGTTGTGCGGCAGATAACGCACCGCGACGCGAGTGCCGGTCGCTGTTGATGCATCTTGGCTATACTTACTAGAAATGTCAACAAGCAAGTCAACAAGCAAGTCAACAACGGCTGGAGGTGTGAGAAGCAGAAGCACGAGTGGGCTGAGGATAAGAACAAAAATGGTGTGGAGCCAGCTCTTCGGTTTCCACCAATCCAAACACATGACGGGTCATGTCGGACGCCGGTGATTGAACTGACTAGAACGCAACATGGTTGCGAATCTCGGCCCGCTGGTTATGAGAGATATATGCATTTGTGTGCACGATATGTCAAGCTGCCGGCTTCACGTTCACATAGATCCACTTCATGATTGCATCAACTGTCCTCAAGTGCTTACAGAAGGAATCAAAAAGTACATCTTGTCCTTTGCAATGAGCGATCGATTGCATAGGCGTGCAGTCATCAGCAGCGCCTGCTTGAAGTGGCTGCATCGCAACGGCGACCACGGGTACCCCATCGTGGCATGATAAAGCGCGGTATGCGTCAGACGATGACATGCATACACAAGACGAATACCTTGTCTGGAATTGCTGATCCAGGCGCTAGATCAATAAACTACAACGTATTGTACCTTGTCGCAATGTGCCAATGATGCAAACTTGCTTGGTCTGTCGGACGACGTAAGTTGCGCTTGGAGAGTAAAACTTAATTGAAGTATAAAACTTCTCTCGCCAACCACACACGCCAATTCAGCTTGGAGAACAAGATCGAGATGAGGCGCAGGTTTGGAAATCAGGAACTGCGTATCAATCGTCAAAAAGCTAAGAAGTCTCTTACTGCCTACCTAGCTTAACATATCCCATGGCCATGGCTTGACTACACGAAGCGACGGATAAGCGGCATGCAGATGGTCTCACGCCGAGGATGTAGCTGCTTAGAATCCTACACTCCACCCTATTCGAATGCCGTGTTGCGCGTGCGACAGGTATGCAGATAGGATCACCAACGTGGAATTGCGCTACAGGCGATCTTCACTGCTTATAGTCTAATAACAGTGTGCGCATGAATATGAGTTCAACAAAGTTATGGCTCCGACAAGGGGGGGCCTGGGCGTCTGGGCCTAGGTCAACTAAACGGTGAAGTTGTGCAGCGTTCCAGATACGATTCGTTTCAGGAAAATGGTGTTGTTGCGGTAGAGCTAGATATGCAGTTGCTGCGTGATCCTATAGTGTTCATCCGAAATAGCTAGGGGTGGTACATGCCTGCGAATTCCGTGTTGTGCCTTAAACAAATGCCTTTTGAAATGCTAGCAGTAGGCACCGCACGTAGGGTACCAAGTTGTACACGCAAGGTTCGGCTGTGCAAAGGCGCGTTGCGACTACGCGCGACATCTAGGCTACCTAACCCAGCAGATGATGATCCAACCGGCGACAGCAGCGTATCGACGATGGGACGTGTGTGCAGGCAGACTCTCGGGATTCTGTCTTGCTTCAGTGATCACCTTGGTTCAAATCGGGAAAGAAGCCGACATGCAGGGTGGCATGGCTGCCAGCCACCAGAACTTTGACATTACGTAACGGCATCCTCAAGCAGAGATTCAGTCAAGGGACTCAAGAAATCTTGCTGTAAGTAGGCGCATTGCTACAATGTTGCTACCCAAGGGTACGAAGCACAGTATCGATCACCACTGCGGGCCACCAGGTAGGTAGTAGTACATGCTGGGGGGAACTACACTTCCCTTGTTGCCGAGGGTCTATCATAACAAGTGGAGCGAAGCCACTCGTTCCTGATGCCCGGTTCTACCCGCCGGGCCGAGCCCGGCGTTAGATTTCGGTAAGCCGCAGGAAGGTTCGCTACCTGAGCCAGAAATGCTGGATCACGACCAAGGTCGTGATTCAACTTCCCAATGGGCATTGCCCGCCCATTGGAGATATCGTGGATCGCGTTGGAGGTGTACCTCCAGCAATTCCTTGGAATTTTTGTTCGTGGCTCGCTTTAGCTCCCAGCCAATCGTATCAAGCCATTCGTGTAGCAGCAGGGTAGCGAGGCCCCGCTTTTCTCATCTCGTCTCTCATTCGTGTACGGCAGCTACGCTGCCTCGTCGTGGTCATCCTTCATAAAAAGCCGCAGGAAGCTAAGGCAGCCTCACTAGCCATTGTGGTTACACCTAATGCAGATACGAACACCGTTTCACACAAAACCCATTGACCGGATCTAGCCAAGCGCTGGCTGTCATCGTCAAGAAAAGAAAGGGTTAGCCTCTAGATACTGGTAGTCCATCTACACTCACTGTTACAGTGTGGAGGCAGACCCACATGCAGTAGGGATTGTATACAACACCTTGTGGCTGTATCGGCAGGAAGCTTGACGACTGATTCGATAGCTTCGTTGGTGTCATGTGATCTACCTTTCACACCGACTTAGAGATGCATAGTATGGTGCCCAGTTGTACAGCTTCGCTTAGATGCAAAGA